AACCCAGACATAACAAACATTCAATATTATGAGCCAACGACCTCAGCTGTTTTCTAATTGCCCGATGTCACTTTGGTGACTGGATTTCCACCATGCTATACGGTGATTATAAATAAGAACTAACGAGTTTCTATTGCGCACATATCCGTCTGCTCGAGGCGCCTACACAGTACACACTTCTATTATCACTCTGAATTTAGCCCAGTTTTACTAAGGCGCCGATACTCGATAGCCACATCCGAGAAATATAAACTTAATACCAGTTATCAGAGATTATGAATTTCAAAAAGCGAAATGGTACTAATAATTATAACAATTATCATAATATTGATCAGGGGCGGCGATCCCGGGGGACGGGGATGGGGGGACACGTCCCACCTCAATTTGTTTAGGGGGATCGAACCCCGCCCCCCTGGAATATTAGAAAAAGTGAAAAAATATATGTATAGCAAATACTGACTAAAGACTGCAACACACATTTAAGCTCTGCCAAGAGCAAGTGCAGCGTTTAGACTAATACAAATGCAAGAGTCTTCTCGCTCGGTCGCTACGTCCCTCGCATAATGTCCTTCAAAATGTACAAGCAAATATTGTAGAAAATCTTTATTCCGTTGGTATCACGTAAGCACAGTTTACACTGTATGTTTACAAAACTAAGAGTTATAGAAATAGATCAGTGCTACAAAAAGTGCCATTTTGCATAATTATTACAGGTATTCCGTAATATTGGTTGGTTTTAATATAGTTCATAACCACATATTCTATATATTTCCAATGTCAACTCCCATAGCAATATCAATGTACATGTACATAGCAGAGGTCTAGAGTGTAAAATATAAATCCATTCCATGCCCAAGCACCCTACTTACTAAAATCTACCTTCTAAATATGTACAACCCTTCGGACTGCATACGAATTACCGGCAAAGTAAAAATGAAGTGTCAAAAGAGTATATTACTTCTTTGTATACTATAGTTTTGCTAAGGAATGTAATTTTGTAATACAACAAAAGTTCAAAAACCTGTGCCAGGACCCAGGGGGAAGTAATTTCCATCACCTTCGCGACTCTCGTTCGCTATGCCCCCTCGTCCCTCGCAATTCTCCCCCCCCCCCCCTCCCCCGGTCATGAAAAGAAATCGCCGCCCCTGATGTAAAGTAACAACTAAAAACATATCAGGATCTCATAATTCGCGACATAAACGTTTTTGCATACTGTTCGTTTAATACATCATTGCTTAAGTCATGATCAGATACATTTTCATGTCATCGTAATTTATCATCCAATGTTTTTCAAGCAAGGAAGATTAACGTCCGGTTTGAACCAAATGTAAAATTTGACGTAAAGATCTGTTGAAAAACGATCACAAACACTTATTAAAATGGCCAGTGATCCGTCATTTCTCCGGGCTTTATTTCTTCAAAGGTATTAGTTTGATACGTATATGTTCAGGGTTAGGTTATATCATGGACCAAATATAGTTATATTAAGTGGAGGATTTTTTTTCGAGGGTATGTACCTCCTGACCACCCCCCCCCCCCCCCCCCCCTCCCCCAATCCCGTCAAACGATGTCTTAATTTCTTCTTCTTTTCCTTCATCTTCATCTCTTCCTTCTCCACCTCTTTTTCTCATTCTAAACCTAGTGCTCTCTCTCTCTCTCTCTCTCTCTCTCTCTCTCTCTCCCTCTCTCTCTCTCTCTCTCTCTCTCCCTCCCTCCCTCTTACACACATACTCTTTCTCTCCCTCTCTCTTTCTCTCTAGTAGATGCAACTATTTGATCAGTAGCACATGCATCTGACTGTGAATAATAAAGTAATATAATTGTGCACAAAGATCAGTTTTGCTATTTTTTCTATTTGCCGTAAGATCTTTTTCCTTTTATGTTGCTAATTTGAAATCAACTACAATGTAAGACAAAAACAAGTCTAAATTTTAGCATGAACTTTCCTCAATATTTTAATACTTTATAACTTTCTCTTTTTTTTTCAATTTTCTTTTGCATGAATCACTCCATCAAATGAAGTTAATGAATACATGACAGTTTCACTGATGTATTGTTTATGTTCTGGATGAGACATCGACGATAGTTGATAAAAAGCAGCTATCATCTGTTGAATGCCAGAAAGACGTTAACGCATACAATCCAACACAGACCTAGTGCGCTTCTGGCTCTTCACAGAGGATACTCTATAGGCGGTGTCAGACAGAGGCCAATTATCTAGATAATAGTTATCTAGATAATTCGTAGCCTGTCTGTCCCCTGTCTGCCACCTACGTAAGTGAATTGTCTAGATAACTATTATCTAGATAATTCAAGTTGGATTCGGAAAATTGTGTCCGACACCGCCTTTAATGTAAACTACCACTTAACATGGGCACATACATGACACACTTTTGGTTGGTTTGTTGGCTTTACCCGACTGCTAGGAAAGCACGGGTATGCTAGTAAGAAAGCAACCAGGGGACCGACGCCTTTAAGTCCTTTCCGAGGGACTTGGTAATGAGGATTAATGCTTTACCAAAGGGTACTAGCGCACCGAATCGGCATCGGACCTGGGACCTATGGATTACGAGACCACTGCTCTACCACTGAGCCATCGCGCCTCACCCTTTTATACACCATGTGAAAATAAGACATGTATGTATCAGTGAGGCGAGAGGGCCATTTATGTCCAATATAATTTTGTTCACATCATATTCATCTTAAATATACAATTATGCAACACATTTAAACCAAGATAAAAACTGAGATGATAAACAATGCTTTCTTAAAACAGGTAACTATACATGGATATAAATTCTGAGTAAAAAATCTCTTTCACACACCATATTCATAACATTCAATCATTTTCATGAAATCAAAGTACTGCATTGCTTTTGATGTACCCTTGTCTATGACTTACACTTTTATACAGATGCAACATTTAAAATGTTGATCATACGTCACATATTATTTGTGAATTAATATTTTTGTCTCCTTACAAATACAGTAACTGTAACAACGCAAGAAATGCAAGGCAAAATCAAAAATAATTTGAAAGAAAATCTGGGAACGTTCGAGGGTGGGGGGGGGGGGGGGGGGGGCTTGCACTGATTTTGCCTCTTCTTATATCCATCACTGTCTTTTAGTGCAAAACGGTTCATTTAGGAACAGGTACTCCCATTTACGAGAGTAACAACTGTAGAAGTAACAGCATTTCTGAAAACATAACATTAGACTGGATTCAAAGTCAAGGAGAAAACCATGTACCGGTATCCATTACATGAATAAATGTTGATAGTAATTATCAGTCCTAATAATGATAATGAAAAATGGCAACAACTGTCCTTGTAACATGTTTATCCAATTAATATGGACCGAAGAGCTGAGCAGTTTATCACCAGTGGAAATTAGATTGAAGTGAAGAGCTGAACTCACAGTGTATGCATTCTCCGATCGTCAGGGAACATGCCAGCCCGTTGCCATTTTACAGTTGCCCACTTGCTAATTTAATAGCGCCCCCACACTTGTGGTTATGAGGTAATAGTCACATTCCATGAAATTCTATCGCCAAGTGCAAGAAAAAGATGATGATGATTATGGTGTGGGCACGTGTACATGTGAAAAGTTCTCTTGCACATGTGTGTACATCTACCAGATCTAATAATCTGGGGGCTGACCTTAAAGATAAAGTTGAGTTCTGGTCATGTGATTGCATTGTGAAAAAACGATGTGGAATCGATCAGAGAAAGTTGATCATGTAGCATCTAAGTATTGGTGCATACTGAAAGTGCAAATGATAAGAAATTGGCCTAGTCTTGGTAAAAGTAACAAGCACTGTACATAGAAAGATGAATTTTGGACTACACAAACATGTGGCATAAAAATGAGGCCCATATTTTTAAGCTGTTACATGTCATATTTAGAATATGAAGGCATTTGAAGAGCCATGCTTTTCAGGGAACATTTTTTCTCTGATGTTCTTCCACACTTGCATAATAACAATGAAAACGCTCATAAATTATTTGTCACTTTTTCCCAGAACTCAACCTTCTCTTTAAGTATCACTGTCCAAAGTAATGATAATATTGCAACTGTCTGGATTTAAGTAGCGCTTAATAACTTAAAGATATCTTTAAGCACTTCACAGATACATCGTAACCGTGGTCATCACATTCAGGCTTGCTTAAACACAATGTATGCCTATTCTCATGTGTTCCCAGACAAGCCATGCTACAAACTAAAAACAAAACATGAATCAATTCTATTGAGCACCACTTAAGACAGAGACATTATATTATTTATGGCTAAATTTGGGCACATTTGGTGATGATGCAAAACTTTAGGCAATTTTGTAGAATCAAAACTTAAGATTGGAGAAAAAAAAAAAAGTCTTCTCTTATTGTTAATTAAGACCATCTTCATTAATGATACTGGTGTGGTTAGTAACAAATAGATACAGTAACAAAGAGGTAAAGTGAAAAATAGATACGGTAACAAATAGGTAAAGTGACAAATAGATACGGTAACTAAGAGGTAAAGTGACAAATAGATACAGTAACAAAGAGGTAAAGTGACAAATAGATACAGTAACTAAGAGGTAAAGTGACAAATAGATTCGGTAACAAAGAGGTAAAGTGACAAATAGATACAGTAACTAAGAGGTAAAGTGACAAATAGATACGGTAACTAAGAGGTAAAGTGACAAATAGATACAGTAACAAAGAGGTAAAGTGAAAAATAGATACGGTAACAAATAGGTAAAGTGACAAATAGATACGGTAACTAAGAGGTAAAGTGACAAATAGATACAGTAACAAAGAGGTAAAGTGACAAATAGATACAGTAACTAAGAGGTAAAGTGACAAATAGATTCGGTAACAAAGAGGTAAAGTGACAAATAGATACAGTAACTAAGAGGTAAAGTGACAAATAGATACGGTAACTAAGAGATAAAGTGACGAATATATACGGTAACTAAGTGGTAAAGCGACAAATAGATACGGTAACAAATAGGTAAAAATACAAATAGATACAGTAACAAAGAGGTAAAGTGACAAATAGATACAGTAACTAAGAGGTAAAGTGACAAATAGATATAGTAACAAAGAGATAAAGTGACAAATAGATACTGTAAATAAGAGGTTAAGTGACAAATTGATATGGTAACTAAGAGGTAAAGTGACAAATAGATACAGTAACTAAGAGGTAAAGTGACAAATAGATATAGTAACAAAGAGATAAAGTGACAAATAGATACAGTAAATAAGAGGTAAAGTGACAAATTGATACGGTAACTAAGAGGTAAAGTGACAAATAGATACGGTAACTAAGAGGTAAAGTGACAAATAGATACGGTAACAAAGAGGGAAAGTGACAATTAAATACGCTAAGAGATAAAGTAACGAATAGATACTGTAACAAAGAGGTAAAGTAATAAATAGATATCAACAAAACAATACAAATCATTTGTGCATTGACATTGTGTACAAATAGACAGATTCATATGTAGGAATGGTATACATAATATGAGCTCTTTTTTATCATATAGAAAAAGCAATCGGCTGAATACATGCATAAAACGTAGCACAGACATAAATCAAAGCAGCATAAACAAAATGAAAAACTGAAAGTAACAAAATGATCACATCCTTCATCTGTGTTCTTCATTCAACTGAGATATACTATATTCACTTAAAATCAATTTTCCTGACTGCAGCTTCTATGGTACTTTTGGTAAATACATGTATATGTGCTCTCTTATCACTAAGTACTTGAGTAATACATGTCTGTAAATATAATGCCACAAGTACCATGTATGGAGTAGGTTTTCAATAATATTTGTGTCATCTTGATCTAAACACTACTCATAAAAGCATGAACAAAGAATACAAAATTGAAACCAGGTTCATAATACAGTGTAATATTTGAACAAAAAAAGCTGCTCTACGGTAAACATGAAAGTTTTTGCTCTCCTTATAGTTAACAAGGTTTTCTCACCGAAACAACAAAGTCAATTTGAATACCCGTCTAATGAAAATGTGATTGCACATACAATAATATTGTAAAATATTGTTCAATGACAATCCAAGGTTCTGTCTGTACATGTAGTTGTGTTTTATTCAAAAAAAAATTATTTGAAGCACATGTTGTTTACTTTACCGCTGAAGATAAACCAGTCCTAATATGAACACAGGCTCAATATCTCTATTTTGCATTCCCTTAAGAGCAGCACAAAAATCAAGAAGCTTTTTAAAATATACTATTTAAATAACATTTAACAAAAAGATAAATATAACATATGATCAATCTGTATGGGGCATATACCTATACAATGTTTTACATCAAGGAAGACTATTCCACAAATTATATTCATAAGCAGTTTCAAATCTTGATTAATACATGCATCTACTGGAATTTACACTTTAATATTATGGCATTGAACAGGTTAACAACATGGCTTAGCTGTGGGAGCGGACCACAGAATTCCTCTCGTCTGTTTGTCTACTCTCTGAACGACATCCCGAGAGGAGACAAGACCTTCTCTTCCTCCCATTCCTGAAGGGGTTCCTCCAGTTTCTCAGAGAGGGCGAAAGACAGGGCTTCTCATTTGTTTGTTAGTCTATTCTCTGAACGACATCCCCAGAGGATAGAAGACCTCCTCTTCCTCTGGGTCCTGAAGAAGTTCCTCCAGTGTCTCAGAGAGTGCGACAGACAGGGCCTCTGATCTGTTTGTCTACTCTCCGAACGACATCCCGAGAGGATAGAAGATCTCCTCTTCTTCCGGGTCCTGAAGGAGTTCCTCCAGTTTCTCAGAGAGGGGGACAGACGGGACCTCTCATCTGTTTATCTACTCTCCGAACGACATCCCAAGAGGATAGAAGATCTCCTCTTCCTCCGGGTCCTGTAGGAGTTCTTCCAGTTTCTCAGAGAGGGCAACAGACAGCGGCATGGAGATGTTTTGTTGGACAAACCGCAAGGTGAGCTGGTAGAGGAGGGAGTTGTGGCTGTGAGGCTTACAGATGTTCTGATGGTCCATGGGCATCTCATGGAACTCTCCGCATCCAGGATCTGCAATGGATAGCAAAACAAAATGGCGGCACTAAACCGTTTAGCTCTGAAAAGCTTCATAAGGGCTCTGGTTAACTGAGAAAGAGCTAGGTTTTTTTTTTAAATACACAAAAAACTATAAAATACATAAAATTGTTGCGAAAATCAAACTTTTACAACATAAAATCCAAAAAGAGCTCCCATGAACTATTTTAGAAAAGTTCTACTCTGCCACAGAGTTTTATGAAATATGGATATGGGATATCCAATCAGTGTTTCATAAATGTTTACATAGTACTGAATGGCATCTAGAAGGGTTTAATCACAAGAGCTAATGAGCATCTTAGTTGACACGATGAGTAGAATATTTTAAAAACCAGTGTGATATACCCTCGTGCCCTATGAAGAACCTACAAAATTTTCTCAATTTTAATCTTGATACCTTAATGTTTTTGTATCAATTTGCATAATGTAAAATTATTTTGTCCAAACCCAAGAATTTTGCAAGGCTAACATCCACTGACGAGGCTCAAAAGAAGGGAACTCCATTTTAAAACATTCTACACAGGGGGGGAAATAACACTTTGGATGCTAATCTTAGTTTATTGTTTATTACTCACTGTAATGTATGGGACAGCATATGATCAAATACCTAGGACTAGCCTAAATATACAGTTAACAAGTAAATTATTCACACCACTTGTAAATTTGATGCTTTTTGTGTATTTGGTAACTCGAGAATGAAAGGTTGACTGGTTGATTCAGGGCCTTTTTTTAATTCTTTCATGTGTAAGCTTTAAAGCCTTTCTGCACTAGTTTGGCCAGGAGGGATTAGACCTCTCTGCATGGTCACTGACAGGTGGTTATCTCATCAAATCAGCTCTCACTTAACATTTTTTTAATGGGATCATGGGAGACCAACGCGTAACGCTAAGGCATTGTTTGCTATATAGAGGGCGCAAGTAGCTACATGTAGTGCAATCCCGCTTTAATATGTTACATTCTGAAGAAACATCAATCTGGAGGAATCAATTTTCCACATACTTAAACAATTACGCAACTTGGTAGGGGTATGAATAATTTAGTTGTTATCTGATGATAAAGAAGGATATGTGTGAATTTAGTAGAACTCACTGGCTGAGAGAGGAGGAACCACTAAAGTCTTGACAGACAGTCCAATATTTGTAGGAATAGATTCACCGAACGTCAGCACTGGAAGCTGATGTGTCTGGACCAAGGCACGGAAACGACCATGAAGATTCCTCAAAACTGGTGAGTCTGCAAGGGAAGAGAATAGGAATTATACTTCTATCTGATCAAGGTGTTGAAACAAATTTGACCTTACCATTTATAAACAAAAAATTAAAACTTTCTAGAGTCACAATTGAAATTTCCTTTTTAATCGTTGGCTTGCGCATAGTCTAAGATGATTCATCCCAAACAGCCCTCCCCACATCCCATGTACTGTTTTATTTTGCAGTATAACAAATACTTAACATTCCAGTAATGCTCTCGGTAAATTACCTTTTGTGAGATTGTGCAACAACCGAATAGGAAAAAGTCACATTACATAAGTGGTTACCTATAAAAAAATTATTCCTTTCATTTTTTTGAGGAGGCGCGATAGCTCAGTCGGTAGTGTGGTGGTCTCGTAATTCGGTGACCCGGGTTCGAAACCAAGGACTGCGCTAGTCCCCTTTAGTAAGGCATTAATCCTCATTACCAGGACTTTTGGAGAGGACCTAAAGCCGTTAGTTCTCTGGTTGCTTACTAACAAGCATTTATGCTTTCTAAGCAGTCAGGTAACATTATCACCACTACTACTATATATTTATTTATTTTTGCTTTTTTAGGAACCTTTTTGAACTATGGCCACACCCCCCCCCCCCAGCCCCAATTCCCTCTAAAAAATCCTGTATCCACCCCTACTCTTACCGAGTGATAGTTCCTTGACCTCTGTAGAAGGGTACAGAAGGTACTTGGCTTGCTGCGAGTATGCAGCCAGGGAGGAGCCATGATGAGGGGTACTGTAGAAGACCACACCCTTCGTCTCGCCCATCACTGTCGCCATGGTTTCACTCTGGCTCGCATCAATCAACATCTGTTTCACCAGAAGACCTTGAGCAATAAAAGAAGGGGGAAAATTCATCATTTATCCCAATTTTCTTGTTCCCTTTGTTTTAACAACATCAAAGTAATGGCCAGCACTTTGCTATGGGTAGGTAAGAACAAGAACTTAACATTGAAGATAGAAGTGCAAAGCTAGCAACCCTGGAATCGATATGGTACCTGATGAATGACTGAACTAAAATTTATGGAATGCTACATAATATGTCAAATAATGCTACGGTACTTCAGTCGAATATGTAACAACGTGCAAACCATATCAAGATCTCCTAGTGTGGAACTATATTTTGTGGTTATTACACTTCAAAGAATTTCAAAATATTGTGGCTGTAAGGATTCGTGTAAAAAAGGGAAAAAAAGGACATCCTGTCACACAGTAAAACAAATTAAGAGGTTAATATTAAAGGAGAACAAATAGTGTTTTCACATTCCATGCGAAGATAAGATAAGATAAGGAGGAGAAGAGAGAGAAGAAGAGGAGGAAGAGAAGAAAGAGAAGAAGAAGATGAGGAAAAAGAATAAGGAAGAAGAAGAAGAAGAAGAAGGAGGAGGAGGAGAAGGAGAAGGAGGAGGAGGAGGAGAAGGAGAAGGAGGAGGAGGAGGAGGAGGAGGAGGAGTAGAAAGAGGAGAAGAAGAAGAACAAGAAGAACAAGAAGAACAAGAACAAGAACAAGAACAAGAAGGACAAGAAGAAGGAGGAGAAGGAGTAGATGATAAGATACTAACCTCCCATAGAGTGGGTCACCCAAATGATAGGTCTCTGTCCCACACCAGCATCATGTAGCTTCCTAAGCATCTCACCACTACGCTGTGCTAACGAGTGCCTAAGAAGATGAAAAGTAGTGATATGTAAGAGAAAGCAACAACACCTGCAGGTTTTGTAAGGTTGAGTGTTTTTATCATTTTGAGAAAAATGAAAAAATATGAGTTGCAACCAAACATGATCGTACATACTAATATACCTATGCCAAACTGATTGATGTCGATTTCTATTTTTATTAGGTGGTCTGTTATCAACAGACCACCTATTGATTTCGTCAGAATTTTCTTTCTTCTTTATTATTATTATTTCTTTATTTGTATTTATTTCTTCACTTTTTTGTGTGTCGGATAACATAAGATTGGTTATGTCAATTTGATTCAATGTTGGCACAGTCATAGGTCATTATCATGAGACGTGACAGGAACATTTTTAAGGTCATTAGGTTATCGTGACGTCATCCAGGCGCCATTTTGTGAAATCACGTTATCCATCATATCTTCATGATGCATCAGCAAAGGTTATTCATATTCATATCACATATACTTTAGGTCAAGGGTCAACAGGTCATGTCATCAAAGGTCACATAAAGGTCATGACGCGCGCGTATGTGCGCGTCAAAATTTAAAATTGCTCAAAATCACTAAACTATTAAACGAGAGTACGAATCAGGTCATTTGAAGCATTTCAAAATTTTCCGTCCGTAAGTGTCCCCGCGCGCGGTGTGCGCGCTCACATCGCGCGGAAAAAGTCAAATTCAAAATGTTTACATGATTTTGATTCCTCTTACCGTAAATGACAATTTACCTTAATTTCAGTCACCCTTTACCTTTCATAAGGCCGTGAGCGTGCGTCAAAGTTCAAAATCCGCGCGTACTGCTATGGGCAATATAGTGCAAATTTGATCAAAAACATGCCATTTTAAAAATCGAAATAGCTCTTCAGATAGTCCATTGACCCCCAATTTTTATATCATGGTTGGAGAAAGCATGAGTTGGAGATATGATTTCATACCACCCTGACTCGTACAAAGTGAAATAAAGTCATCATATTGGCATCTAAACTCAAACAAATGTATTTTGTTGATGACGTCATTTTTGTCTTTGTTTATTTGAGATTATCTCACTTATCGGTGATCGATTTTCTCCCAGATTTTGATATGTTGTAGCTGAGATAATTCTCTATCAGAAATATGTCATTTATTTTTCATTTGGATGACGTCATCATAGTAAAATATTCGATTAAAGGCGACAATGCATAATTTGTCATATTTGCGTGTTATGTCTATGGGAGGTCACTTTTTTCAAAACATGCATCTGCATGACAATGTGTTTTGACCAGTATCTCGGTTATTATTCAACAGTTTTCTCCCAAATTTTAGTATGTTGTAGCTTAGACTATTTGCTATCTAAATATTTCCTCATTTTTTCAATCAGATGTCAGGATCATGTTCATACTCATCATCGTCATCATCATCATCAATATCATCATTATCATCATCATCATCAATGTCACCATCATCATCATCATCATGGTCTAAGATGATGATCATCAACATCACCATGAGCATGATCATTATCATCATCATCATCATCATCATGGTCTGAAGATGATGATCATCAACATCACCATGATCATGATCATTATCATCATCATCATTAACATTATCGTTTTTATCATCATATAACATTTTCATTATCATGATCATCATCACCTTTACTATCATGATCATCATCATGTTCATCATGATCATCATTGTTTACATGTCTATATAACTTCTCCCATTCTCAAATCTATCATAAGACTTAGACAGACCACCTTATTCGTCTTTGTGACGAATTAAATTTCTAGTTTCTTCCTACTTTTTTTTTTCTGTTGGATGTATCAAGAAAAATTAGAACATAGGATCACTTTAATGATTCCATAAGTTCAGCCTAATCCTGATTCATTTTTAATAATGTGGGTAATCATAAAAAACAAGGGTGGACATGTAGATCAAAATTCTGCTTACTTCTCTCCATAATTTTAATCTTGGTATCATATGCACAGCGGTATTAAGACATTGAGTGAGAAACAACAAGATCAAACTTTGCTGCTTGTTACTCCTCTTTAACAGGGCATTTAAAAGCCCAATCAGTTATCTGTGTAACAAAAAAAACAGTGGACAAGAAGTTAAAAGGCTAAAGGGTGGCTTACTTTTCTCCTTCATATGGACATTTAGAAGCCCAATCTGTGATCTGGGTATCATACGAGACAGTGACGATTCTCATGTGAGGGCAGTCCCTTGCAAGCCAACTCTATGAAATAAATGAGTACATGAATACAGTAAAAGCCATAATCTTTTGCAACAAACTTCCATGAATTGTTCATGCTGGTCAATTTCGATGCAAGAAATTTAGACAAATCATGAACATTTCATGGTGTCAATCAATCTAATTTTAATGTCAATCTTAAAAGTATTTAATTACTTAATTGCTTGAAATTATCACGAATCCTGACCGTTCACAAAATCTATTAAAGACCCATGAGAGCAAAAGTTTCTGGATTTTACAGGATAAGCACACACGTGGATCCATTCATAGATTAACAATTTATAATTCATTACCGACTTTCTTTTTTCTTCTACAAAGATAACACATGTAAAATCTTCTAAGGCATTAAGAAGAGTGCGCACATATGTGAGTAGCTTTTGCATTGTTTTAAAGCACATTCATTACCCAGATTCGTTCCCTGCAGCCGAGATCATAAAAAGATGAATAAACACAATTCGTTTTAATCACCAAGGCATTCTATATTAATAATTCAAACCAAATTCTCTATTTAAAGATTAAAGTTGAGTTCTGGTCATGCGATTGCATTGTGAAAGAAAAGGTGTGGAATGGATTAGAAAAAGTTGATCATGTAGCATGTAAGTATTGGTGTGTAAGAACTGCAAGGTTCTGGAGTCATCAAAAGCATAACATATTTGGCCCAGTCTTGGTACAGTAACAAGCACTGTACAGAGAAAGATGCATATGGGACTACACAAATGGAGTCGGGGCTAGTACTAACCTTGATATCCTTATCTTTCTATGCTCATTACTCAGCCAGTATACATTTTCTACGAAAATTGTTTGGCAAATGACATTTATTTGTAATTTTGAACATTCAGTGTAAGTTTCATTTGATTCTGTGAGAATTCATTTTTTTTTTTTACCGAAACTCAAGTTTATCTTTAAGTTGTCTGTAAAAATTGACAACCTGACTATAAAGACCACTCTTCGAGCCTCCCGTAAGTGGTCTGTCTAAACAAGTTTCACTAACCTTTGGCCAACACCACACAAACTTCTCCTTTTTCTTATTCTCATTGTTCTTCTGTTCATCAGCATCCTCTGTAGGTGCAGCTGGTTCTGGTGATGCATCCTCTTCAGTGGGCTTCCCCTGTCTCCAAGTGTAGAAGGCTCCACCGCTCAACCCATGAACAAACACGATATCCGCTAAGACAGGCTCACTATTCGGGGAATCACAGTTAAGATGTAACATTAATTGAAAAAGAAAAAAAAACAAGAGGAAGATATATAGATAGATAGATTCTTTTATTGATCCATATTTATATTCAAAACATAGGAAATAGGCCTCCACTGGCAGCACATAAACAGAATACAATATAGTTACAAGATAATTGATAAACACTTAGGTATATACGTCACATAAATGTACATAAAATCACATGAGAATCATGACATTAAAACTAGATGGAATTCGACTGCGCGCAGTCGAAAATGATGCCTCCGTTATAGAGCAATTTTACAAACCAAAACAGAAAAAAAAAATTGAATTCACGTTCAATGGTAATCCATTGACAGGTTCTCAGAATATTGTGATTACAAGCAATTTCTCATATACATATATGACCCTTTGATCTTTGACCTCATGACCATAAAATCTACTCAGTTCATTGGCTCTGCAAGATGTTCTGAGTTAAATAGTAATCCATCTGTCAGTTCTAATGAGAATGCGTTCACAAGCTATTTTTGCATACATAATGGGCCCATGACCTTCGACCTTATGAACCAAGAATCTACTCAGTTCATTGGCTCTGCAAGTAACAAACATGACCTAATTTTGGCATGAATCCATCAATCGGTTCTTGAGATAACGCGATCACAAGCTGTTTTTGCATTCATAATGTGCGCTGTGGCCTTTGACCTTTGACCTACGTGCTCCAAAATCTAATCAGATTGTCTTCCTATGGTGATACACACTATCATTAAGTTTGAAGTTTAAATCTCTAGTGGTTCTTGAGATATTATGATAACAATCTCAATGTATGGAATTTCATAAGTTGACCTCTGTGACCCTTGACCTTTGACCTACGTGCTCCAAAATCTAATCAGATTGTTTTCCTATAGTGATACACACTATCACTAAGTTTGAAGTTTAAATCTCCAGTGGTTCTTGAGATATCATGATAACAATCTCAATGTATGGAATTTCATAAGTTGACCTCTGTGACCCTTGACCTTTGACATACGTGCTCCAAAATCTAATCAGATTGTTTTCCTATAGTGATACACACTATCACTAAGTTTGAAGTTTAAATCTCCAGTGGTTCTTGAGATATCATGATAACAATCTCAATGTATGGAATTTCATAAGTTGACCTCTGTGACCCTTGACCTTTGACATACGTGCTCCAAAATCTAATCAGATCGTCTTCCTATGGTGATACATACTATCCTTAAGTTTGAAGTTTAAATCTCAAATGGTTCTTGAGATATCGCGCTAACAAACTCAATACAAGGAATTTCATAAGTTGACCTCTGTGACCTGTGACCTTTGACCTACGTACTCCAAAATCTAATCAGATCGTCTTCCTATGGTGATAAATACTATTCCCGAGTCTTAAGTTTAAATCTTAAATGGTTCTTGAGATATTGTGATAACGGTCAAACGGGACGGACGGACGGACGTACGGACGGACAACCCGAAAACATGATGCCTCCGGCACCACCTTCGGTGGCGGAGGCATAATAAAGCATACATATTCATGTATTACGTAATAATAGGGAAAACCTAAGGAGTCAACATTTAAAAATAGAGAAGAGAGAAGGAGTTCAAACGGAGACTAGATTGAAGAGCGAAATAGTAAGGAGAGAGGGAGAGAGAGGGAGAGAGAGAGGGGGAGAGATAGGAAAGAGAGGTGGACACAGTGGAGGAGGGAAAGGAGAGGAGAAGAAAGGATAGAAATAGAGGTGGAGAAATAGATGGAAAAGGAGAAGGAGAAAGAGAAAAAACACCGGCACTGAGCGAGAAATCATTCGGTGTTCTCCATGAGATCCCTGTAATCATATTATTATTCAGGCTTTATCACAGAACATCTTCATCTTCAGTTTGCAAAACAATATTAGTGCTGTGGCAGGGAATTGAACCCTGTACCTGTAATCATATGATTACTCCAGCTTAAATACCAAACATCTACAGTAGGACTGAGCCTTACAAGGACAATTTTTCATTTTATACAAAACAGCAATGTCCATCACTGGGCTGAAAGAGGTACATGTTAGGTGTATGTGTAGGATGTGGACCCCATTACCAAACTTATCTGAAGGGTTGTACAAAACATACACCTGGAACAACTGCTCCCCTTCAGTTGTAGCAGGAGCCTGGACCCAACTCGATACCTAAACCTAACCCTAAAACCAAAATGAAAACCTAAGTGAAAACCTAACCCTAACCTTACACCTTTGACAAAAACAAGCCCTATTAATTGTTGCAGGGGTATTTGTCAGGTCATCTTATGAAGACCAGTCGTTGTCCAAGTTTACCAATGCTCTGCTGGCCTTAGCTGAAAGAGATAGGTGTTTAGCCTGAATTCGTTTGTAGAGGTGTCGTGGTCGAGTGGATATGTCAGCGAACTGTGGATCACAAGGTCCGCGGTTCAAGTCCCACTGGGGCATTAATGTCCCTTGACATTGATCAACATTTGCCACTCTCCATCCAGGTGTTTTATGGGTACCCGGTAGGATGCGAAAGCTAATGTGGTTTGATTAGCAATGGCGCTTGTAAAATGGCGACTGGCTGGAATGCTCCCCAGGGAGTGGAGAATGTGCATACCTTGCGTGCAGGTAAGCATGAATTCGATGACCGGGGTAATAATAGATATCTGTAAAGCGCATTGAGAGGTCTTGCGGTCCTAAAATGCGCTTTTCAGTGCGTCCCAGAAAAAACGAAACCGAGAAGTATCGATGTTCTATCATAACTTAATCACAACTATAATTAATGACTGATACATATTTAGAAAGCTTAGAGTCTCCTCTTTCATGTGATGCTACTCAGACAATGCATATTTCACGCATGAGTGATTAAAAGCAATTTGAAGGAAGGCAACCAAAAAGACATTTGGCGGGCGGTATCTGAATTTCGAAGAAAAATTAATATTTCTAGAAAGTTGAGTTTCTGCCCTTTCATATGACACCTCAATCAGGAAAAATGAGCGAGGAATGACAATGTTCTGTTTGTTTAAAGTAGTGCTTGCATTTCCATAATTTTATTAAACGAATTCGTTTTCACTGGCTGCCTGCCGTATCAATAAACAAAATTAACAAAAGACTTAACTCCGTTTCGTTGACAATCAGCCGTAGACGAGAGTCTACATGCATGGCTGATTGTCAACGAAACGGAGTTAAGTCTTTTATCAAATCTGCTTTTTGCTACGGCAGGCACCCAGTGAAAACGAATTCGTTTGTTAAAATTATGAAAATGTAAGGGCTACTTTAAACAAACAGAACTTTGTTATTCCTGGCTCATTTTTCTTGATTGAGGTATCATATGAAAGAGCAGAAAATGAACTTTCTAGAAATATGAATTTATCTTTGAAATTCAGATACCGCCCGCCAAATTACTTTTTGGTTTCCTTCCTTCAAATTGCTTTTAATCACTCATGCGTGAAATATGCATCACATGAGTAGCATCAACTAAAAGAGGAGACTCTTAGCTTTCCAAATATGTATCATTCATTAATTATGGTTGTGATGAAGTTATGATAAAACATCGATACTTCTCGGTTTCGTTTTTTCTGGGACGCACTGTATAAGGACGAACTATTATTATTATTATTAATCCTAACCCAGCATTTAATCCAACCTTTAATATAATCCACCTTCATCTCACCTAGATCTGCCATTCGGGTGTAGGACGTAGACGCCGTTGCCGAATGTCTCTGAGGACCAGTCTCTGTCTAAGTTAGCCAGTGCTCTGCTGGCCTGGGCTGAGAGAGGGAGATGTTTAGACTTCATCCACTTGGCTAGGACAGAAATCCACCCTGAGAGGGAGACAGATACAGAGACAGAGAGAGACAGACAGAGAGTTACTGGAACGCAATTTAAAACACTTTGTTTTAATCTAATCTGTTTTTAGTCTGTTATTAACTTAGTACAAATTCACTTAAGATTAGAATCCTTCTCCATGTACATTAAATCAAAATGACAGCAAACAACTTCGATGGTTGGAAGGAAAAATAATAATTCTTGAGATGTAAGTTCTATAGTTCTATAATTTTTCTGACCTGCTTGAATGATTTTGTCGTGCAGAGATGGATGGGCGGCAAGATTGGCGATAATTTGTGCCACGTGTGAGAGGATCTTTGGACTGTTCTCCCTCGCTTGATAGACCCTCATCAGGAGTTGGAGACCTGCTAGCTTTACAATCTCCTCACAATGGCTGCTCACCTGTACAATACAATGATAAATTACTGTTTACAAAAAGAACATTTTATAAGAATATTGTGTAGATGAAATATTCTGTTAAAGGAAATACATTTCTAGATGTAAAGAGTACATGCTGCAGAAGACATAATAAAACCTTACAAAACAGTAATCAATTGATGTGTTTTTTCACTGTCTTTAATGTTGTATGTCAGTGATCAGTAGGGTAACAACTATCACATTGTTTGAATAGAATTACCTCTAAGAGACTGGTAATGGCTAAAAAAAATACATCTTGTGTAGGGCTAAATCAGGACTAGGTCTATCCTTTTTTTCAGTGCCTACTTCTGAGTGACTGATGAGAGCTTAGGAGATAGACTTGGTCCAGGGCTAACTTAGGGGTAGGGTTTATGACAATTCCATTTTCATGCATTGGACTTACTTCAGAGTGGCTGATGATAGGGCTAAGACATAGGCATTGTCCAGAATTACTTAGGGTCAGGACTAGCATATTAAGTGCATTGGACTTACCTCTAAGTGACTGATGAGGGCTAAGACATAGGCCTGGACCAGAGTTACATAGGGTCAGGACTAGCACATTAAATGTATTGGACTTACCTCTGAGTGACTGATAAGGGCTAAGAGATAGACCTGGTCTAGGGCTTCCTCTGGAATCTTACTCAAGGTGGCAACAAAGGAAAGTGCATTGCCTCCAAATACAATCCACCCAGTCTGTGACGAAATGAAGTGTCAAAGGTTATAATGATAACAATGTTGGATATTTCTCTAACACACATATCTACCATGTAAGGTGCTAAAGGAGCTCCACCATTACCCCATCTCTGCTAAGCAACCAACTGCTGTGCTCACAGCATTCAAGGAATTCCTTTCTATCAAAGGAAATCACAAAACGGGAGTGTATTACTTGTGCATAATTGTCAAACCTTAAATTTAATCAATCCTGCAGTCAGAGGTTCTATTTTCTAAATAAAAATGGAAAATAGTTGATGCTCATTATGTGGCAATATGAGGCTCTTTTATATCAGAATTGTTTTTTTTGTGATACCACATTAATATTCAAACTAGACCAATTTCTGAAATCAAGCACATCGCTCAATGCTCACATTCTTTGGTAGTATTTGCTGCCTGTGGCAAAGAATTGGTTTAGTTTGCACACAATTGAAATTAACTGACCTGGTCTTCTGCCATGGCTTTTTTACTTTGCTGCATAGCAGCCAAAGTGAAGTACTGAGTGCATCTATCAACATTACTCCTGGGGAGAGAGGCTAACAGCTTCATAAAAGCTGCCTCTATCGAAACCTGAAAGAAAGAAAAAATGATGAAAGGATTGAAATGAAGCTGAATGTGCGTGTCTTTACAGAAAATTATCAACAACTGCACATTAAATTGTAATTTGTCTTGAAATTATTTTCTTTTGGATGAAAGTGGTAAGAAATATTATCAACATCTGAAAATGGAAATTGAAATTGGCATAATATATGTAAAAAGTACAAATATCACCCTATCTTCAGGAGTATTTTTTAAATAATTCCATAACATTGTTACGAACTAATATGATATTGCTTCCCACATGCTATCAAATTGATTTTTCAACAAGTTACATCAAAATTTAAATATTCTATATAAGTAATACGCTAAGGCTCCGCGGGGGGCGCGAAGTCTCGGCGAGCCTTTGTATTCTATTGTTTTTTAATGAGATCGCCGACCCAAGTTGGTGCGGCTATCTCCTCCTGAACCCTCCCCTCGGGGTACCCGTGCCCGGTGCCATCGTCCGCGGGAGAGTCTACTCTGTGGAATTGGCTATACTCCGCCCGAGGTCCTCCTCCGTGTCGACGTCCAGGGCGAAAACAGACGCGACATGCATAATGCAGGATATGCGTGACGACAGAGATACCTCATGGATATTCAACATTACATCCGTAGACACACGACCGATGACCATCCACTCACATTAAGTTGCGTATTAAATGCACGATATACAGGGTCGGGATTACCCGAGTAAAGCATCTTTATATAGGATATCCTTTGTAGTAGCTGCACAAGCAACAGAGATACACACGAAGCTTCCCGTCCACGTCCAAACTTAGAGACCTATTTCCATCATTTCATGCCGCGATTTTTATATAGTTTTCGTGAATGGAGGTATGAAATCAAAGCTTATTTTGTGATTATGACGGTTAATGTATACTACATTTTGATTATCATTTTCTAAAGGAAAGTTTTCACAAGAAAACCATTGGACTGACAGTTCTGTCGCAAGCTGCCTTCAGTCCTCACACATACAGAACACACAGTGCAGTGTAACACCGGCACCACGCACCGCAGGCGTCCGAGGCCTGCGGCGTCGGTGTTCGAGCTGTCTGGAGTTACGCTGGAGTGTGTGTGTGTGAGTTCAGCTGAGCTGAGCTCGAGTCGAAGAGATTTGACACTTTGAAATTGTTATCTGTTGGTTTGCATGATTATTGCCGCGATTTCAATATAGTTTCGTGAATAGATTTACGAAACCTTCGCTTAGAATTAGTAAAAGTATAAATGTCTACGTTTTTAAAAGACTGTCTGATTTTCCTGTGAAAATTTTACTTTGAAAAATGATTATCGAAATTCATGGTCAGAAATAATCACAATCTAGGGTCTATAATGTTACAGTTCTTGCATCAAATCAATGCATGAAAACTTAGTTATTGAACTAGATTTTTTTTTTTTTTTTTAAATAGGCAATTATGAAGTAGGAAGCCTGAAACCTTAGCCTACTAAACAAATCTCAACAAAGTGTAGGCCTATCCATCTATGAATTAATGAAAAAGTAGCCCAGAAAAAAGAGCCCCCGAAAATTTCCCTAAAATTTGAAATGGAGCCCCCGAAATGAAAAACTTAATTTTTTGCCTGCGCACCCCCTCTAGAATCCCGCGGATTTCCGCGGGTCCTGAGTTGAGAATATAGGCGTGGGGTCCACGGGTTTCAAGGGGCCATAAACCCCCAAAAGCTCGGGGGTTACGTTCTTCAAAGTTGGGGGGGGGGGTGGAGAGATCAGATCGCAGCGAGTTGAGTGTATATATAATACAGGCGTGGGGTCCACGGGTTTCAAGGGGCCATAAACCCCCGAAAGCTCGGGGGTTTTAGGCGTATAGGGTCAGATGAGCATATTTTTAATACTTTATTTGTGACACTTGCGGGTCACTAATTGGCGTGGGGTCAATACGTAGAGTTGCGTAGTGTTGCGTAACAACTACGCTGGCCTACGTTACTATATGCTGAGGGACGGAAAGGGGTACGCAAGATGAACGAAAACAATTCAACCTGTTTAATTTTTTTCGCCAGCCTACGCATAACCTACGCAGGGACTATTTTCCCATTAATACGCAGCCTAATTTCTGCGTAGTCGGTACGCCACACTACGGAACTCTACGCAGTTCCAGTGGCTTAAAGAATAACTACCGGTACAGTTGGATTGTTTTTTTAATTTTTATATAAGGCCAAATTTAAAAAAAACATGTTTAGCTTCCTGTTTTTTTCGAAAAATGGGAAGGAGGAGGCCCTTTTTTTAAATTTTATTTTCTTTCAAAATGGCCGCTCCTTACATTTTTCCTGACATTCGGGCTATTTTTCAAGATGGCGGCCGACAATTTTTTTTTTTTTCTTTTTTAAAATCAGAAATACATTTTAGCAGTGCTTTTCATGTTTTTTTTCTTTCAAAAAAAATAAATAAAAAAATTCCAAAAAAAAAAAAAAAAAAAAAAATAGGAGGCGGCCCCCAAAAAGGAAGCAGGCGGGGACGCTGTTTTTTTTTCTTTCAAAAAAAAAAAAAAAAAAAAAAAACTTTTCAAAAAAAAAAAAAAAAAAAAAATAGGAGGCAGCCCCCAAAAAGGAAGCGGGCGGGGACGCTTAAAATGTATATTTCTTAATGGCCTGAATGGCGAATAAAGTTCTTGGGGGTTTTAATTTAGACAGTCTCTATATATCTATTTACACCCCCCGCCCCCCTCTAGGATCCCGCGGATTTCCGCGGGTCCTGCTAGTACTCATATAATGCAGGTGTAAGATATTGTTCTCATATAAAATCAAAGAAATTAGAACACGAACTATTTATGAATCACACGTTGCTGGGAAAAATACAGCTCTTTAACAACAGCACATACATCATAGCAGTAATTATAAAAATGTATTAACGGTACATAAACTGATCCTTTTTTTTCACAATTTACGCTTGGATGTGTCCATATTACCTTCTGATCTTGCTCCTGGCATAAAATGGGAGGAGACAAGAAGAATCTCAGGTCACAGTCAGGCGACCTGGCTAATCCAATCAGAGTCCTCGAATCACATGCTTGAGCAATAGCTCGGTAGTCGGAATCTGTACGATCAAAAGGAGTTATGTCAAAAGGAAAATCGCTAAAAGATATTCTGCTCTGTATTTTGTTGCTTCCACACTATGTTCAAGTATCAGCATCAAACATCACTTCTGTGATTAGGAATGGCAAGTTTATCATTATGTACTTTATAAATGAAAGTAAAAAGAGACCTAAGAATAGACTATTTGACTTACTTGCACACACACACACACACACACACAAACATGTGTACACTTAAAACTGACATCTAATTTTGAATCTGGTATCTTCCGCTAGTTTTTCTCAATACTCCTAAACCATCCATCCATTGAAGGTTGGCTAGGTTTTTTTAATTTTTTAATTTCTGTCAAAAAACATTACGTTTGGGGTGATTGTTCTGTTTCAACTAAATTACTGCTCTAACTGGATTGAAAGCTGGAGTTAAATTAGTGTTGAAGATTAGGGCTATATCAGGACAGAGACAATGAATGAAATTCCAGTCAAATTGAGATCCATGATTCTTTGGAGTTGGCACTGGTGCGTAGAAGGGCACATGAACTTTGACCCAGAGAAATAAGACAAATGAGAGATTGCTTTCAACTTCCAAAAGTACCCAGTCCTATGTGTTTGACCCATGAAAATTCACATACCTTTTCTGACAAGTGCTTATCTCATCAAATCAGCTCTCAATTAACATTAAAAAAGGAGACCACGGGGTACCAATGGTCACCGATTAGGCATTGTTTGCTATATAGAGGGTGCAAGTAGCTATTAGTAGTGCGGTGGGGCTTTAAAGGTTAAGTAAAAGTTATCAGCTTACCATGCCACGATGTGTGCTTCTTTGACAGGGCAGCCACACCTAGCAACCTCACCTCTCTGTTAGCTGACTGAGCTTTCTTCAACAGCGACTTGGGGTCCTTCCACACGTGGCTCATCTCTCCTGAGAAAACCTTAGGCACCCGAAAAGGCCATACTGTCCAAGAATTCAAGTAAAAATTGGAGATTGAATGAACACAATATATAAGGTGAATTACCATCAGATATGATGTGGCAAAACCATGGCAGTTTGTTATGATAACGTGAAGTGTTTACGCTTCACGTTTCTGTATCTTATTACACAGAGCTCTCTGAATACATGCAGGACCTATGTTAGGTGCAGTTGCCTTTCATTTACACGTTTAAAAAAACTGCTTTGGCTTTCTATTCAGTGGTTTACGGCATCATATCTGAACTAGCCTTTAAGGATATCCAAAGAACTTATTTCATTCATATTTATCCAAATTTAACCTACGGCCCAAGGGAACCTGAAGATCCTGTAGTAAGTGTAAGGGACAAGAGAATTCAGTTCCGGTAGTCAACAGGTCAAGTATGGCACCTAAACTTTACCTATTATTAGTCTTCACAAATTAATTCATTCTTAAAAGGCATATAATAAAGTTATTCTTTCATTTGCAATTAGTTAATGATATGTAACAGCAGGAAATTTTGAAAGACTTAAAAATTAAATAAAAAATAGAGGAGTGAGTCAACTGATAATGTGACTTTGTCTCCAAATAGCTCATTATTTTACAGGTGCATGACATGAACATACTCACCGCTCTCTGAATCTTTGTCTTTTAGAATATATTCCAAAGCCTTGATTCTCCAGTGCACTTTACTCTTGACTTGTGTGACAAGGTCATCTAAAAAAATAATAGTTAAAAATATTGGATTTTTTTTAACGCTCATATCCACCATGCAAGGTGCTCACAAAACTCCAGTAATACCCTGGCTATTGCTGGACCACTAGCGATAGCTCAGTTGGTAGAGCAGTGGTCTCGTAATTCGGTGACCCGGGTTCTAAACCAAGTCAATGAGCTAGTGCCCTTTGATAAGTCATTGACCCTCATTACCAGGTCCCTCAGAGAGGACCTAAAGCCGTTGGTCCTCTGGTTGCTTACTAACAAGCATTTATGCTTTCTTAGCAGTCCAGTCAGGTTTTAAAAAAATACCATCACTAAATTAGCCATTTTATAGAAGTTCATCTGGGTGAATATTATTGAATGCAGATTGTGACATAGTCTTTGCGTGCTTACAACCTTGCATGGTAGTGCTTTATTGCGGTCATCTAGAGAAAGAAGTAAGGTCATGGAGTCTTTTGAGAGTGTGACCTGGTAGTGCAACAAAGCTGTCTGTTAGAGGAAGGCTAACACACTGCAAATATTTAGTTAATTCAGAGAGTCACACGATCATCAACGTTTATCAGGTGCACAAGAGGTTCAAATTTAGAGCGTTGTCTACACCAAATGCATTGCATACTGCAGTCAAACAGATTGTAATGTAATCCTAAGAAAGAAACAGGTTGTTTGGCTATAATATGGCCTTGTCAAGAATAACTCAATCAAAAGATCCTCAGCACATGAAAATACCTTGGTCAACCATGGCATTGACGTAGATGTACTCGCTGCCTCTCTCTGGTAAGACTCCATCTGGTTTATAATGGACAGCCCTATCTAAGGTTAGCCATTCAATGTACAGAAGACCACTCCTAAAAGATACAGAGAAAGAAAATTGGTTGTTTTAAGGGTGAAATGCAAATTACCACTAAGTTAACTAACATCTATTCCAAAGAATTCCATACTAATGGCGCATTTAAGGCACAATAGGATATGAACGACAAAGTATTTTCCAAACAAATAGAATATGATACATGTAAGTAATTAATCGGACTGTCTATCTGATATCAGAATTATCTGTTTTCCATCCAACAATGATAACATTTTTAAAGCAGACTTTCCTTGTTGATTAACACTTGCAATAATAAAATAAGCCCATACTGGAACAAGAAATACTTTTCAATACTCACCCAGCAGCAACTGCAGTCAGAGCAGCAATTTGAACTGAAACAGGAAAAAATAATAAACACAATTAAGGAAAAGCAAACAATGGTAGAAGACATTCTCTGAAATAGCACATACAACAGGTACTTTTAATGTGAATGCATGCAACTACTGGTATTAATTACTCCAGCTGTCAAACTCCAGCTTAAACAAGGTCCTTAAATGTTAGCATATTGCACTTCACCTTTTTGTATCTTACATCGTACACTGATATAAGGTAAGAAACTTGATACTTGATACTTGATGAAGTAATCCCTGAAGCAGCTTTTCCAAGCTATACTGGGATGGGATGTGTTGTGACAGCAGGTGCAGGTGCAGACAACAAAAGGGTGTACAATTTCTTTATACAGTAAAACAGTGACGTGCGAGTAAAAAATCATGCTGCTATATGGTTTACAGCATTCTGGAACCTACAGGAGGTTCCAACCCTCTGATGACAGGGAGGGCGATCATCTGGAAAGCAGCAACTGTTGGGGTAGTAACTGCTGTGGCTGGTAGTTGATTCCAGATGCGAATGGTGCGGGGGTAAAATGAGTACTTGTAGGAGTCTATTGTTGCCACAGGAACAGAGAGCTTGAGTGTGTGGTCTCTTCTGCTGATGTATGTAGCTTTAGTTATGAGGTGAGGAAGACAAATGTTGACTAGCTGGTGGTGTATTTTAAAGAGCATGGTGCTTTGTGCTAGAAGACGACGTGTGTGCAGTTTATCCCATCCCAGCTGGGAAACAAGCCCTGTAGCCGACGTGGATCTTCGGTAGTCGCGGAAGACAAAACGAGCAGCTGTTTTCTGTACTCTTTCCAGACCTTCGGCAGCACCAGAAGTGTGGGGGTTCCAGGCTTCAGCGCCATACTCTAGCTGCGGTCGAACCAGGGCTGTGTATGCTCTTGACTTCACATCCTTGGTGCATGGTGACAGGGTTCTCCGCAGCAATCCAAGGGTTTTGTTGGCCTTGTTCAGTAGGAGTTGGCAGTGTGTATTCCATCGAAGGTCCTTGGTTACAGTTACCCCGAGATACTTGTACTTGTCTATCCTGGGTATTATCTCGTTGGAAATCCGGTAGTCATGCTGTATTGGTGTTCTTTTCCTCGTGATGGTAAGGGAGGCGCACTTTTTGACATTGAAAGCCATGAACCATTTCGCTGACCAGTCAGACAAGGTTTGAAGGTCTTGCTGAAGGATGGAGGTGTCATTCTTAGTGTGAATTTCTCTGTAAATCACACTGTCGTCAGCAAAAAGGCGCATCTTGGACTGGATATTTGCAGTGATGTCGTTGATGTACAGCAAAAAGAGGGCTGGTCCGATCACTGAACCTTGAGGTACCCCAGAGGTAACAGGCATCCAAGATGACCGGGAGCCCTTGACAACAACTGCTTGCTGCCTGTTGGAAAGTAGCGACATAGTCCAATGTAATGTGTCTCCTCTTATGCCATAATGCTCGAGCTTGGTCTGCAAGTGGCGATGAGGTACTCGGTCGAAAGCTTTCTGGAAGTCAAGGAAGATGACATCTGTCTGGCCTCTGCATTGTAAGGTGTGTGCCCAATCCTGGGTAGCAGAGATGAGTTGTGTGGTGGTGGAAAGTTTCTGCCGAAATCCATGTTGGTCATCTACCAGGATGTTGTTGGCAGCTACATGTTTCGAGATGTGGCTGAGCACACTGTGTTCCATTAGCTTGCTGCAGATGCAGGTCAAGGAAATAGGTCTGTAATTTCCTGGATCACACTTGTCACCGGACTTGTGGATGGGTGTTACCAATGCATGCTGCCATTCAGCTGGAACAGTGCCAGAGTTGTAGCTCTGCTGAAAAAGGAATCCTAAGGCAGGAGCAATCTCGTCAGCTACAAGCTTGAGGAGTTTAGGTGGAAGTTCATCTGGCCCACAAGCTTTGGATGGGTTGAGATTTGACAGCTGCTTTGCCACACCAGGACGATGAATGTGTAGATGGCCGATATCAGGAAAGTGTGAGGAACCTTCCATACGAGCATGACAAACCTGTTGGTTGGTGAATACTGAGTGGAAGAAAGAGTTGAGACACTCTGCTTTGTCTTTGTTGGTCGTGTGGATGCCTTTGTCAGATCTAAGCGATGGGATGTCCATATTCTCAGTCCGACACTGCTTGACATAGGACCAAAAGGTCTTGGGATTCCCTTGCAGACTGTTCCCTATGATGTTGTTCACGTAATCGTGGTGTGCTTGGTGAACTAGTTTCGCTACCACGTTGCGGTGCTGTCTGAAAGCCTTCCATTTTGACGTACTGGGGTTTCTACGGGCTTTCTTAAAGAGCCTATCACGCTTCCTCATTTTTCGTTTGAGGTCGGTGGTGATCCACGGAAGGTGTCGCCGGGATTTGCTCATCTTTGATGGTATCAGATCTTCCATACACTTCTTGAGGAACGCAGATATCCTGTTCCAATTCTCATCTACAGTTTGGAGCTCTGGAGATGAAAGGAAGAAATCGATTGAAAACTTTTCAACAGTTTCTTTAATGATCTGGTGGTCTGCTCGGTGGAATTGGTAGATCTTCCTGGGAGGGGCACGGGCCGTTTTCGGATTTCCTGAAAAGACGAAGGACACAATGTTGTGGTCTGATATGCCAGGATGAATGGATACATCTGTAATGAGGCCAGGGTTGGACGTCAAAAGAAGATCCAGGATGTTACTAGACGCAGGACGGGTTACATCCCTTACCAGTTGTGTCAGTGAGAATTCCAATAAGGTGTCAAGCAAAAGTTGATGGATGCTTGCACGGTTTGGATTGGTCAGTGAGCAGGATTCCCAGTCGATGTCTGGAAGATTGAAATCTCCTCCAATGATGATGTTAGGGTGACTTCTTCTGTGTTTAGACATAACCTTAGCGATGGAGAGTTGGAGTTCCTCAAGGTCTTGCTTTCCGTTACTTGGGGGACGGTAAAAGCTTGCTATAAATAGTGGCTTTGCGTTGGTGAATTGTAAGTTACACCAGATGATTTCACTATTTGAGCCGAACTCCGGACAGTTGGTTAAGATGAGAGACTCGTGCACTGCTACAAAGACACCACCCCCACGGTCGTTTCGGTCTTTCCGGAATACTGTGTAATTTCTAGGAAATACACTGTAAGTAGGGGTTGTCTCGTCAAGCTTAGATTCGCAACCAAGGATCACATCTGGCTTGTGATGACTAATCAATGCTTGGAATTGAGAGTACTTTGCAGAACTTTTAAGACCATTGCAATTGATAATGACGCCCTTCAGGATCTTCCTGCGGTTTTTAGACGGTGAGAAGTGAGGGCGTGGTGGTAGCCTCGATGCATGACCAGATGACGCTGAAGTTGGTGTTGACGTCTGACAATGATATTGAGCATCATCGGTTGTGTCGCTGATACTTAGTGACTCAAACTGATTGCTTGTGGAGAGGCTGGCATTGCTGCTGAGGGAAGCTGCTGTTTCTGCATTTATGCTATGACATCTGCAGCAGACCCACGAGAACCTGTTGAGTCTGGCGAGGACTTCATATGATTGCCCAGAAATACCATTGCATGTAATATGGCACCACATGTTGCAGTTATCACAGAGAAGGGCTTGGTCGTTGTCCGTGACATTCGCATTACAAATAGCACATGGGAATGTGTCTATTGGCCCCGGGTTTCGCTCAACTTGGCCGCTTAAGAGTAGTAGAATAGCGAGGTGACTAGCAGAGCGAAGATTCAGCACACTGGTTGAATTTCTTTTATTCTGAAATGCTTGAAGAAGTAGCAATGTGCTTGATTTGCATACAAGGTGCACGTCTGCTTGAGGGCAGAGAGAGGTATCCAATGAGCGAGATTCATGCTCATGCTGAAAGAATGGCTTAATTATCAGTAAGCCTGTGCTAACAATAATCAAGAAGACCATGATGACAGGATGTTTCCATGATGAGATCATGGCTGGAGGAATATGTCTACCCATGCTAGAAGTAGAATGGTGTTGCATATAAATGTACAATGTACAATGCAAGTCGATAATGTACACTGTTACTGACCGAGATACATGAAGTTTGACTACTTTTATACTACTATTTACTAAGTACTATTGTAGCAATCTCAGCTCAGTCTAGTCTAAACCATAAGACCATGTTGCACGCAGCTACTTTTTCATCAGATCACCACTTGCCATTTATTTAATATACAAAAAACAACACAGTGGTCTACTACCGGTATGTTACATTGTATTGTCTGTTTAGAGCCAGAAGGGCGCTAACTTAAAAACTCCAACACAGAGTTTACACCGTTCTGACTCTGAACAGCCGAATTATGTGAATGAGCCTTTGTTTGTGACTGACCTCCTCTTCTTCCCTGTAATAAAGTGAATCTGCTTTTGGCCTTGCTGCTGCTGCTACAGTAAAGACGTCTGGATTGAAGGATGAGTCTCATTGGTTTCTGAGGGAAAAATTAATATCAACATATTAAATAAGAGAAGGAGAAGAGGAAGATTACAAAGAAGAAACAAAAATGGAGAAGAAAAAAGAAGAAGGAGAAAGAAGGAGAAGAAACAAAAAGAAGAAATAAAAATAAAAAAGGAAGAGAATGATAAGGAAGAAGAACAAGAAGAGGAAGAATAAGACAGACGGAGAAGACAGGAGGAGGATCGAGGAGAGAGAAGAGGAAGAACAAGAGGAAGAGGAAGAAGAAAACGAAATAAGGAGGAGAAGAAGTAGAAGAATAAGAAAGAAGGAGAAGAAGAAGAAAGAAGGAAGAGAAGAAGAAGAAAGATGGAGGAGAAGAAGGAGCCAGAGGCAGAGAAGAAGAAAAATAAAAAACAGACTCATATTCAATTTCATTATATGCAAGGGAGGCAGAGGCTTGTTCTATCAATTTATCGGTAATAGTATAATATATTTATGATAGTTTATCCTTCTATATGAGTTCTATTAATTTAAACTTTAATTAGATTTCCCTACTCTTCTCTCGACTCTCGTACTTGGCGACTACGAGAACGATACAAAATTTTGAATGAGTGGGACTAGAATATAAAAAGCGTCTCTCGCAAAGTCATTACCCAATCAAAATTTTCATAATCAGCAAAAGTCACAAAAAGTTCATGAACTTACAGTTTTAGAAGACATCAAAAGAGCAAGTTTGGGCCAAACTGTTGATAAAATGACACGCTATGACATGAATACGGCAACATTTTCATCGCAGAATAAGGTTTGTTTACTCGACGGTCGTTTTCTTTTTACCCTGTCTGTACTGTCTGTCGAATGTTTATATCGATATCCGGTAATTGATCCGGTTATCCGCGAATATGATATCCGAATACATTATTTATAATGCGTATAGGCGCGCCCTAAGGGGTCTAGACTCTACTATAGATTTGTAAGTTTGATAATTATTCCAATTCAAAACCTCATCACAGCATCCTAAGCTTCCTCTCTTATGCTTTTAATCAACCTACAGTCAAATTCAATTCTTTACCCAGTTTCCCCTCTCTTCTATTTGAATAAGTTTGGTTTCAAAATCTTTGTTTTTAGACCACATAAAAGTCAAAACGGAACGTGTCAAAAATAGTAGTTTGACGCTACATTATAACAATAATGGAAATAATTGAATCATAAGTGACCAACAACAAAAATGTGTGGCAAAATAAACAAAATAAAACGTGGTACATAATTAAACAATCTTTTCTTTGCTCTCTTTTTTTTTTCGGGGGGGGGGGGTAAAAAAGTAATCCAGTGACCTCTTTTAAAGAGTTGATATTTATCTCAACTTATTTGCGATTGATAGCAATCGCAACTATATAAATAAAAGATAAAGGGATGTAAATTTGCGATTGATTGGAGGAATTGCGATTGATTTGGATCAACGCAACTCTTTATAAGGCAGGGAGTCCAAGCCGGGCCCGTTTCTCGAAACCGTCATAAGTCTAACTTCTTGACTACCCCATTGAAACTTGTTTTTATAGAATTAACACACGTTTCAATGGGATAGTCAAGAAGTTAGACTTATGACGGTTTCGAGAAACGGGCCCCTGTTCTTCAGTTGGGGTCAGACAGAGAAGACATGATCGACATGCCGAGTATAGGCATCGATATAGTCTACCAAAATAGGGGCTGAGAATCAGGTTTTATTATTTTTCTATTAGTGTTTATTTGTTGTTGTTTTTTGTTTATTACTTGCTTGATTGCTTGTCAAACAATTTTGCTCGACATCCAGTTCTTATCTAAAAAAAAAATATCTCGACATCCTTGCTCCTCGTTCTTTATCTATCTTTCTCACTTCTTCCTCACTTTAATCCTTGAATAATTAGTAGTCAATAAGACGCTTTCTCTCTCTCTCTCTCTCTCTCTCTCTCCCACCCTCCCTCTCCCTCTCTCTCTCTCTCTTTCTCCCTTTATTTCCCTCTTACTCTCTTCCTCCCTCTAACCTCGATTCACGCCATCTCGGCCATTGAATTTTATTTAAATTTGGAATTCAAAAAGATCTTGTAGATGTGTTCTTAAATTCTGCTTTAGCTTGTATGTACATAATAATCTATATCAACCCTTAAAATGCAATGTTGTACTTTTTTAGTCTGCCATACAACATTTACGTAACAATTAAAATGTAAAGCGCTGAGAAACGTAAAGTATTAAGCGCTACAAAATGTGACTATTATTATATCAAGATAGAAAAGAAACGCAAAAAAATAGTAAATTTTGCACGATGTAATTAAAAGTAATAAATGAGCCTATATTTAATAATATCAGATATAATAATATATTCAGATTAAAAATATATACATTTCATCTCAAAATAGCATTTGTAGCATAATATTACGAAAGACAATTATTATTGTAGTTTAAAACGGCAAAAATCATCATAATCAAGTACTTTTCACTACTGCTCTCCTGTGAATATCAGTAAAGTTAAAAGCTACTCAAAAGGTTTTGGTAATATAGAAGCCTCATCATTACCATATTGATGTTGTTATTATTTTCAATTCATGATTATTTCTCACTATTATGTTCGGCATGTCTGACTTAAAATGTTAAGTAAGACAAAATAATCATCTAGCTTCCACTTCCCTTTGATGTCTGGAAGGAAAAAAAGGACAGTAGAACTCATAGTGAAGGTATTGTTGGACATGGGTCTTATGGGATAGCCCTAAATTTCATGATGCGTATATGATTTTCATGTATTTAATTTTTCATGTTTGGGTCTATTTATATGATTTTAAACATTCTCATCAAATTAACTTGATAATTGGTGTTCGAAAAACACATGCGAACTTTACGCAAGTATTTACCATAAATCCAGACTCTCCTGGTAAAATCTGCCTCGGCCTTTTTTGCTGAGTCCAAGTTGTCATTAATACAAATCGTGTGCACAAGAATGGTTTAGGTTCATGTAAAAATAGGACGATACTACTTTGATTTGATAAATGAAAAGGTAGGGCAAATATAATCACTTCACTTCAATTCTATTTATCAAAATAAAGCATCCCCTAAAGTTAGGGAAATGGCCGGCGCGTCCGACATTGGAAAACTTGAAATGACGATAATATTCACAATGTATACAAGTATCGCCACAATGAAATTCTATACCGAAAGAGCAACAATATAGAATGCATTCCTGTTATAATGTTATTTGCAATGAGGTATATTCGGCATTGCTATATTGATTAGAGGGATGGAATACATAATCAAAAGCTCGAAATGTGACAAAATTTGCTAGAATATTAATAACTGTCTCTCAGTCATTAGAAGTCTACTCTTAAACCTTCTTTTCGTCCACGTTAAAACCTGGGTTGTCAAACGTTGGAGAAACTCTGGATATATTGCTTGCGTCTTTAGAGTCTCTCGAATACGGTGGCATAATTTGTTTGAACAGCATGCAGGTCACGGCGACACCCACCGTGAAAATGATGACGAGTATGACCATGAGAGCAATCAGATCCATCTTGACATCTAAGGTTTGGATCAGAATAGAGGCTGTGACCATGATTGCGTAGGTGAAGACTACCCCTGATAGGTAGAGGATTTCCTTGACGATGCTAGGAGGTTGGAAAGGTTCGTCGATCCTATCTGATTTAATTTTCTTTTCGATCCAGAGGAAGAACCACATGACGAGCCAAGCGACGATGACGCAGAGGTATTCCGTTCCAGGGATGCGGATCATTTCGTTCATGCGTATCCAGTAGCGACCTTCTTTGTCGACGAAGACCCATCCATAGACGTAGATCCCCACGCCCATGTAGACGATGAAGGGGAGGAACCAGAGCAGGCGTGGGATGTATTTGAAGACGGGAAGGCCGAAGAGTTGCGTCATGGTGAAGACCCAGAGGAAACCAAACATGAACATTGGATAGAGAGAAGTGCCGTCCAGAGCTGGGCCACCGGTTTGCCAAGCGACCACAGAACCGTGGATGATCACCCATGCCTCGAGCAGGAGACGCCAGTAGCGGTTGAGATGCACCTGCGTGTACATGAGGCTGCCCTGTAGCATGAAGAGCCAGGTGTGTGTGAAGCCCAAGGCATGGCCGAGCGTGTTCTCCATAGGATGGTACCAGAATGTGTAGATGGCTGCCCAGGAGAAAGCATAACCGTGGTAGCGACGGATGAGTTCCTGAGGACCCAGGGGAAGCCGCAGTGCGTTGCTGACTTTGCCAGTGTCATCTTTGGATGGCCAACCAAACGCCATGCCGCGATTCCGGTACTCCATCATCAAGACAAACACAAGCAACATAATGACAGATCCTTGAGAGCTAGCTTCCGACACATCCTGGGCCAGAGCGTCGTAGGTCCAATGGGTCTGTCCCAGGTGAATCAGATGGAACACCATGTTGCCTACGAGTGGTATCCAGTTGAACTGCTTCATGTCGGTGGAGTACTTGGGATCTTGGGGGTTCGGGTAGACTGTCTTCATCCTCTGTGCGTAGTAGATGCAGCCCCATATGAACAGCTGATGGGCCACGTAGCACAGCCACATGAGGCCTCTGGTCCATGCTGTGACGTCAGCAGGGGGTATCTGCCAGTAGTACCATCTCGCCGTAGCTCCCGATCCATGTCGGCCCGGTACGCCGGGTTCTTCGATGTACGGCTCGGGTAGGAAGCGCTCCTGGGACGACTCACTCTCGTTGTGGCAGTAACCAGATTCGGCATCCCAGCCCCGGGAGTTCCCGATGAAGATCATGGCGAGCATGAGAACGATGATGAAGATGATGCCTATTGCCCATCCTACTGCGTCCCAACGGAACCTGCTGGATGAATCCTGCAAAGTGATAAAACAAAAAAAGAAAGAATATAAGAAAGACGTAAGATATCGTTTAATTTGACTTTCTATAACGTCTGATAATCGTACTACTACTCCTACTATACTATGTTATAATAATACTACTATTGTACTTCAACTAATATTAATAATAATGATGATAATGATAATAATATAACAATTATGATAGATATTTCATAGCGCACACATCCAGCACGTGAGGCACCAAAGGCGCTTCCATATTCCACGTAATTATCAATCCACATTTGCCGCTCTCCGTGTGTAAGTGCCGTACATACCCATATTCCAGAGAGCCAAATAATTACTTGATAGATAAAGGTGATCATAATGACATGGAATCATGTTACGTGTATTAGAATATATTGCAGAGAGACCTTGAGCCAAAAATAATTGTTTAATGTTGGAGCCACAAGGGCGTTAATAATTCATAATCGTTAATACAGAGCTCATGCCTTTCAGACGAATGTCGTTGGCGACTGTCTTCCACTACCTCATCAAGTACAAAATATTTGGTAAATCATCAGTACCTGTTTCTTGTATAAGGGTGTGTCTTCATAAGGCTCCATTGATTTACTGCCGTTCTGAACCGTTTTCTCGTCTGGATCTGAAACAAGAAAAAAAAACGATAATTAAGTAAGCGATATATGGTGTCGAAATAGAGAGAATTCATAGAAATATTGTAGAGTATTATCCTACATAGCTCATTCACCGTGTTTCACGCATTCAAATTCATCCGAGAGAAAGAAAAACGCGATCGCATTTTAGACTTTCAAACAATAAACTCAAGGGCTCATTCATTAATCAGTTAAACCCCCCCCCCCCCCCTTGGGCGGCCAAGTGGGAAAAAATGGAAAACAGGGGGGGGGGAGGGGGAAAAAAAGAAGCGATTTTTTAAAAACCCTGGATCCGCCACTGGGTCAACCCCTCCCCCCCTCCCCCCCCCCCCCCCCCTTGGCAAAAAGCTAGATCCGACCCTGTATATAGTTTTAATGTTCAAACATTTTAAAAGCCGGGGCTAATGGGTTGTTTTTGGAAGTCTCTGTGGTCGTGAAGAAAGAAAAAGAAAGAAAATAAACACGGGTATGATGATTTATAGTTTGGGCAGGAAACACGTGTAATTATTAACATTGGAGTACAGGATGTCCACATTCTCTTCAACATAGAAAGCGTGACAGACTTATATCACATGAACGTCATTTTCATGAAGGAAATAAGGTATATCTGGTAATAATCATTGGATTAAAAAAGGGGACAGGGGGCATGTGTCCTTCCCCCCCCCCCCAACATTTTTTTAATCGAGAGAGAGAGAGAGAGAGAGAGGGAGGAGGGAGAGAGAGGGGGAGGGAGAGCGAGAGCGAGAGAAAGGGGGATGGGGAGGGAGAGAGGGGGAGAGAGGGGAGAGAGGGGGGGAGAGAGAGAGAGAGAGAGAGGGGGGAGAGAGGGGGAGGGAGAGGAAGAGAGAAGAGAAGAGTAACGTGAAATTAATTTGACGGTATAGGACCAATTTATTATCCTCTCTGTACTTAATAGTGGTCTGATAATTCCCATTTCATTCCCCCCCCCCCCCCTCAACCTTCAATAGTTACATGTAGGCTCAGCCTACGCCTCTAGCTGGTGTTATAGAGCAACATAACATGGATCTTGGTTAATTGTTTACATCCACGAATATCACCATGTAATGTGTCGATGGCAAATTAATTTTGTTATCGACATGTTTCTTTTTATCAGCAGGAAAATTTCAATAATTTTAACCATGTTTGATATACAGGATTTCCATATCAATATACATATCATTATATAAATTTAAAATGTCAATGAATGAATGAATTGCTGAACGAATAGATATACAAAAATAAGAATGAAAGAAAAAAAGGAGAGAAATAGATATATATAATCATTAATCAATTAATTAATACAAGGAAGAAGATCGCACGTGCAAGCACGACAGCTTGAAAAAATCGAATGTATCTCACTATGTTTTACATAAATGAATGAACCAATAAAACAATCGATCAATCATGGTAATATAATCAGATGATGCCTCGTACGTGCAAGATTGCTTTACTTTCAGCGCAACGGTTGGATAAAAGAAAATACACTTACATGTCTTCTGTTATACTTGAAGAACAGTGAAATCTAAAGTACAGAACTCAACAGAGCCTAGGTGCTCTCATGATGCTATTGCTTTCGATTAATTAAAAGTCTCTCGGATGTATCAACCCGAACTACATAACTTCAGAGAGCCTATGTGGTTTCATGATGACTTTAATTGCTTTCAATTTATGCGAGATTACACAATTGACATCGTTATTATCATAATGGATACGTGCATGCGATGCAGCACGGCTTGTCTTGCCATATTTTATGGGTTCAAACTTCAAATCAAAAGCAAAATGCAGGAAATATGGACAATCTGGTCGAAGTTCAATGTCAATAGTCACAAGTCAGTTAGTTTGTATTTTATTAAAGGGAAAGTCCACCCTGATATTTAGTTGGATTTAATAGAAGCAGAAAAATGAGAGGAACGGGAATAATGAGAACTAAATTGATATTAAGAATGACGTATGTTTATTTTGCGCAATTTATAAACAAAACTGTACTCAACTACGCATACCAACATAACACGAACAAAAGCAGAAATGACAATAATGATAAGACAAATATTTCAACGAGTGAATGGCGTGCCCTTCTGTCTGAAATAATAAGTATTCTTGTCTGAATTTCAATGTATATAATTATATTGTATGTATGCGGGAATTGTTTTTGAACTTTTGTACAATGCTACCAAATCCCAAATTGATTGTAGGGTCTATTCCGAAAGATTTAATCAAAGCTTTGGCAACACCACTCCATTTTGTCTTTTGTTTTGTATACCGTTGTATTTTGTTTTGTTCTTGTTGCTGTTTGTGGTCGTGTTTGTAACGAATTTTAATACGAACAGGAGTGCTGTATTTCCTATGAGGCAAAATCTTATGACAGGTTTCGGGGATAAGAAAGGCCTATGGTCGTTTTGTAAATCTTTGCTTTTTTTAAAGAGTGAACCACAAACAAATGAACCTCCTTGGTGATTTGTGGTTTACCCTTTTACCCAATGTGCAGGGGTACGTGTATACATCCTAGCTTTTTACGTGTTTTTTCTCCTTCTCTCGAGGGGGGTGGGGCACTATACTCAAGTCCCAAGTACATTTTGTCGACATAAGAAAAGCCTTCCTCGCCCTCAGTGTCTGCTAATAACCTGAAGGGCATGAACTCATAGCATAATATGACACAGAATTTTTAGCCGTTCTGGCTTTCAATAGATTTTCAATGGTTCAATATTATTGTTCTCAGTCATGAAAAACCAAATGACAATGGTAATATGTAAAATGTAAAATAATAGAGTACACAAATGAAAAATGGCAGCTACTACAAAATTTGGTTCAAAGAAATTGTAAGGCGTAGTTCCCGAAGTATAATACAGTACAAACAAATCAAATACATCGCATTACAAGAACAAAACAAAATGAAGCAATACAAAAAAGATCTACACTCGGTAAAGTTAATAATTTGGCATGTTATAAAATGGCAGTCAACCGGCAACGCCAACTAAGTTGAGCATGCATGGCTTTGTACTATGGGGAATGGGTGAAACAAACAATTCCATATACCACACAATACTATGCGTATTCTTAGGCAGTAATGTTTTGCACTTTGTACAGTACATACAGTACTGATCATTCCAGTTTAATTTTCGACAATGGCAGTCGGATAGTCCACCAATTGCTTTGTGGACAAAAGGAATGATCTATACCCAAATATTACCTCAAAACAAGAGTACCACTTACCACCGCTTTTAAGAAATCTTGAACGTACATGTACCTCTCCTCTCGTAATTAACATGTTTGGATTTCCGTGAGTACAGTATATCGCGATGGTCATGCACCCAAGCGTGAAATATGAGTCATACAATAATGTATTATTGGAAAGACCAGCGGTTTTTATTCAAGATCGAAATGAATGTAGGCCATACAGATGTACTAAAACGGGGTTCATGTTTACAGAGTCACGTCATCCGAAATATAACTAATTCCCGGACCTCGGTATGAATGAGGGGGGGGGGGGGTATCTTGTGGAAGTTTGGCATTATAACCACTGCGAGGGGGGTATTTTTTTTAAGGAAATTTCCAAATTCCTCAATAAATAAAATAATATATGAATCATAATGGCCCGAATTCACAAAGGAGGTTTGAAGACAAACGCGTTTCAGACCAAGGTTTGTCTGAACCTTGGTCTGAAACGCATCGAAACGCGTCATAATTATGACGCACATAAACCTAGGTTTGTCGACAAACCTCCTTTTTGAATTCGGGCCAATATGTTTGCATTAGTTCTCTTTTTGTTTTTATTCTGATGATAATTGTGTATTTTTTAAGTTTAGGATACTGAGAGTCTGAGATGCCTAAAGACATGTTGATTGATATTAGGGACTTTTAGATTTGCGTGGACTGATACGTGTGACGTCCATTCAAGGCAGCGCATTAATAGGACGTCGATCGTAGCAATGCACGTTGTCGTTGTGCAAATCTAAAAGTCCCTAATTATATTTCTTTCACTTGCCACATTGCGTGTGCAAAGTAACAAATTATTTCATTCACCTGTTACGAATAATTGTATTTCAATAGTCAGAATGCAAATTGAGTGTTGCTAGGTAGAACAAAGATTATGAAAACATGAATGAAACCATTTGCAACGAGGAACTTAAATATTCGCGCATTAAATATGATTACATTACGAACATGGCCTATTTCAAAAATGAATTCCATAATAAAAGTACATAATACAAAAATCTACTATGAAAAGATGAATAAATAAAGAGAAAGTCTAGATTCGGATAATACAGCATTCGTAAGGCGTCATAGCTTCTATGGAAAAACAATCGTTTATCACATAATCATTTTCAGTTGCTTCCAGACAGTTCCTGTCACAATGTGTACTCGTATGCCCGGCATCTATAAATTTGGAGACACCTGGGCCCTGTGTTACAAAGAGTTGATATCAATCGCAACTTATTTGCGATTGATATCAACCGCAACTAGTATGAACACAAGAGATAGGAGATTGCAAAGTTGCGATTGATTTGGATCAATCGCAACTCATTGTAAGACGGGGCCCAGAAATACCTTTCTGATATAAAATAATAAATTATTTGAAAAATGCAGATATTTAAAAAAAAAAAAAATCATAAGTAATATAATCCCAGGTCATAATGAGTTGAAGATAATTAACACTGCATGTTCATAAGTTCTAGTTTCAACTAGTTTCTTTATTGATTTGGTTTCTTTTCTTTGTTATTAAGAGTAGCATGTAGTAGTAGTAGTATAGTAATAGTAGTAGTAGTAGTAGTAGTAGAAGTAGTAGTAGTAGTAGTAGTAGTAGTAGCAGTAGTATAGTAGTAGTAGTAGTAGTAGTAGTGGTAGAAGTAGTAGTAGTAGTACTAGTAATAGTAGAAGTAGTAGTACTAGTAGTAGTAATAGTAGTAGTAGTAGTAGTAGTAGTAGTAGTAGTGGTAGTAGTAGTAGTAGTAGTAGTAGTAGTACAGTGTAGTAGTAGTAGTAGTAGTAGTACAGTGTATAGTAGTAGTAGTAGTAGTAGTAGTAGTAGTAGTAGTAGTGGAAGTAGTAGTAGTAGTAGTAGTAGTAGTAGTAGTAGTAGTACAGTGTATAGTAGTAATAGTAGTAGTAGTAGTAGTAGTAGTAGTAGTAGTAGTAGTAGTAGTGGTAGTAGTAGTAGTAGTAGTAGTAGTAGTACAGTGTAGTAGTAGTAGTAGTAGTAGTAGTAGTAGTAGTACAGTGTATAGTAGTAGTAGTAGTAGTAGTAGTAGTAGTAGTAGTGGTAGTAGTAGTAGTAGTAGTAGTACAGTGTATAGTAGTAGTAGTAGTAGTAGTACAGTGTATAGTAGTAGTAGTAGTAGTAGTAGTACTAGTAATAGTAGTAGTAGTAGTAGTAGTAGTAGTAGTAGTAGTAGTAGTAGTAGTAGTAGTAGTGGTAGTAGTAGTAGTAGTAGTAGTAGTAGTAGTAGTAGTACAGTGTATAGTAGTAGTAGTAGTAGTAGTAGTAGTAGTAGTAGTAGTAGTAGTAGTAGTAGTGTAGTAGTAGTAGTAGTAGTAGTAGTAGTAATAATAATAGTAGTAGTAGTAGTTGTAGTAGTAGTAGTAGTAGTAGTAGTAGTAGTAGTACAGTGTATAGTAGTAGTAGTAGTAGTAGTAGTAGTATAGTGTATAGTAGTAGTAGTAGTAGTAGTAGTAGTAGTACAGTGTAGTAGTAGTAGTAGTAGTAGTAGTAGTAGTAGTAGTAGTAGTAGTAGTAGTAGTAGTAGTAGTAGTAGTAGTAGTAGTAGTAGTAGTAGTAGTAGTAATAATAATAGTAGTAGTAGTAGTTGTAGTAGTAGTAGTACTATACAGTGTAGTAGTAGTAGTAGTAGTAGTAGTAGTAGTAGATAGTATCATTAGACAATACAACTACTTCAACCAAATGTTAGTTTTATTTATGGGAACTTATAATCTACAAGCTAAGCTTTTTATTTTTTAATAGGTTCCTCACATTTTACTCTGTATAACCTTATATTCATTACAATTAATTTCGACGTCTTTTCAAAGAATTAATCATATAATGTGACACTTTTAGTATATTTCATATTACAACCCTGTATGTTCTATTTTTGTCAATTATGTAAATTCTTTTTATTTGTGAAATGTGAAATAAACTTGCAACTTGAAACTTGAGACTTGAATAGAGATTATGATGTCAGGTCCGGCTCGGTACTTATAAATTATACTTTTGCTAATTTGCCTATACTTCTTCAAATCGTTTGTTTTAGACCTATAACGATCGTGGACTGAACATAACATGATGGTCCATCCTCGTTTCAGTCAATGTATGGTCTGATACACGGCAAATTAAAATAGGTATGAAAAAAGACTATCCGGAGTTATGAAACGAACGATTTACAGATTAAACATGAATAAAAGTTCATGGTACGAGCATTATTTCATAACTTTATGAATTTATACAATAGACCTATTATTCAAAAGACAAATTTGATGATTCATTCTCTCTCTCTCTCTCTCTCTCTCTCCCTCTCTCTCCCTTTCTCTCTCTCCGCATGGTTAAACACTTGACACTGTGTGGGACATGTGGGGCACCGGAGTGTGTGGGCTATAAATTATTATACAAAATCGTTCTTTTTTAAGTATGTTTGAACAACGATCTTTTCCAAACAAAAATCTGAATGAAATATGCATTATCACCAATTATATAAGGAGTAATGTCCATTCCCCTGTGAAACTGAGCAAACAGACCAACTATATTTATCAAAGTTTGGTATCCGACCTACATTTTGTGTTTTGTCCGCGTCAACGGCCGCCTTGTAAAAATATGGAATGTAATAAGGAACGTTCTCCTCCTTATAATTATCCCAACGAGAGACTATATTAAAATGAACTTATATTTATCTTTAACAGAATTTATTTTTTTATCAAAATGAAGAGGGGGGGGGGGTCTCTTGTCTTTTTTGTTAAATACAGTATATACACAAAACCTTTTCATCTCGTTATTTCGCATTCATAACGCAGGACTGGACTTTATCCTTTTGAAATATTCAATTCATTTGGAATAATTTTGCTAAAGAAGAGAAAAGAAAAAGAATACAGAAAATGGGTTTGATAATGTGTTAACGTCAGCGGGATATTCGTTCTTTATAAAGTGTAAAACAAAGCAAAAATGATGAAATATCCAAATAATGATGCCGTAAAACAATATAAAAGTCACGATCATCATGATGAATTGACAAAATGTTCCTCTCTTGTGACAGCTCATTTTCACTTTGTTTTTTAATTAGCAAAGTTACACTGGTGATGAATTGACTCGTAAAGCTCTCAGTAGGTCTATCATTAGCTTCTAGATCCCTAATAGGGATCGCTCATCCTAATGAAAAAACCAAGGCCAAACGACTTGAGGCAAATAAAGCAATTGAAATTTTCATTAATGATTAACTGGTTATATAGAGACGTAGTAAACCTTATTAACTAGTGATGGTCAAATAAATTCTCAAGCCTGTAAATCATCGGTTTCGTGTGTCATATCGTTCGATAATAATATCATCATTGCTATTGCTCTGTATAGTGTCTTTTACTACTTATAAATATTAATTATCGTCAATCTTTTTTTACACTCGAATAGAAGGCGGGATAAAATAAAAAAAAAAGGCTTACAGTATATAGTGTGTCGTCTGTTTTAGAGCCCACAGGACGATTACCCTGTATTAACAATCAATTGAGTTTGGTTCTAAACAGGCGATAATAATTATTGTCATCGTCTCTAAATCAACTTCGGCTATACGAAGCTGTTACGGAGCATAATACAATAGTTTGCGAAAACTTTAGCAATTACACCGTCTGTCGTAATATAGTGCAGCATTAAAGGAGTCATCAAAATAATCTTTGATAGAAATGTTTTACATAAGAAATACGATTTTGAGAAGGCAATAAGGGGACGATTATGTTTCAATCTTTTTTATATTCATCTTCCTCTTCCCGTTATCACTTCTCCTTTTTTTCTTCTTCTTCTTCTTCTTCTTCTTCTTCTTCTTCTTCTTCTTCTTCTTCTTTTTCTTCTCCTTCTTCTTCTTCTTCTTCTTCTTCTTCTTCTTCTTCTTCTTCTTCTTCTTCTTCTTCTTCTCTTCTTCTTCTTCTTCTTCTTCTTCTTCTTCTTCTTCTTCTTCTTCTTCTTCTTCTTCTTCGTCTTCTTCTTCTTCTTCTTCTACTACTTCTCCTTTTTGTTTCCCTAGAAATCGTCTATTTTTTCGGAGTCAATCTGCACCATGTGACGTCAAAATAATACCATACACTGCATCACAATATCGCTCAGGAATTTAAACTCTGTTGTTGCATAACAGAACCAATAGACTACAGAAAAAAGATAAAGGATAAGTAGTCCTTTATTGATCGTTTCTGTGGTTATAAAGTCTGAAAAGATGGTCTACATGCATGAGAGGTCTTCTATAGTTGGGTCATGCCTTGCTCTATATTTATACGAGTTGCTGAAATCGTCATTATACCACGAGAGCACAAATTAATTCGGGAACCTCCTGAATATCGCCATGCATAAGAATTGAGAAGGATGACGAGAGGGGAGTGGAGGGTCGCGTATAATAATTATAGCCGAAATTCAGTTTGAATCATTTTTATTTTTGGAGGGGGAGGGTTATAACGGGCAGGCGCGTACGCAGGATTTTTTCAAGGGGGGGGTTTTAACATTTATAAATCGGTCCGAAAATTTCGCAACGACTCAGCCAGCCGCTGAATAAGCGGGGGGGGGGGGGGGGGGGGGGGGGGGGGGGGGGGGGGGGTAAGAGGACACTTTTTTTTTTTTTTTTGGTCTCGAAATTTGGAAAATTGACATTTTGCTCCGTTGGGGGGGGGGGTAAGGTCACCTTTTTTAGGTCGGCCATGGGAATAATTTTTTTTTTTTTTTTTTTTTTTAATAATTAAAAAAAAAAAAAAAAAAAATCCAAAAGGGGGGTTTTAGGTTTTTTTAGGGGGGGTTTACACACAAAAAATTTCCAAAGGGGGGGGTTTAACCCCCAAACCCCCCCCCCCCCCTGCGTACGCGCCTGATAACGGGACAATATTCCAACAGAAAGTTGTTAAAATCTTCTTCTTTTTTACATGCAAGAGAATTAGAAACAGTTGATATTAACAAAACTGCTGAAGCTATATGTCTATATATTATTTATATTTACAACGATGTTTATAATGAAATCATATATTCATAATGGGGAAAGTCACTGTGTGGAGGGCCGGGGTGAAGGGAAGCAACTGCAATTCTACAACCAGCTTTTGATCCACCATATTAAGCATTCGAAACAAATCAAAAAATGTATTACCTTCGACCGGGGGTAAGTCGCCATTTTCCGCTTTGTGTCCGTTCTGTTCTCCGTTCCTTTTCTGTCCACGCCATTGGCGAGGTCTGTGTTCTTTTCCAATTCCACTTCTTCACCCGACATCTTGTCTTGGTTTATTAAAATGGTTGGGATTTTTTTATGTAACCTGCTTCTATGGCACCTATTACTAACTTATTAACAGTGTCGAATTAGTATTTGTCCAGATCTGTCGTATAACATCAGCACAGGCCATTCAAGGTTTGTCCACTAAAATACTGTAGGCCGCCTTTTGTTTCAGACATGGCAAAGCTGGTTCGTACGTGATGTTCTTGCTTGCGCTCGGCTGCCCTTGTAAATTATCTGTGTGTGGATTGTGAAGTGACAGGAGGAAAAATATACATGTACATCATTATAATCAACGCGAGTGAAATAATGCTGTTTGGCATATTGTCCGCGCGGAAACTCGAGCCAAACACACAGGATTATACACTCTCCTATACACAATCAGGGATATAACATTACAAGTGTGAAAAATGATGGAAATATGCAGCGGCCCTGAATATAATACTACCGTTATTTATTCACCACGCTCGACGATTTAGAAGGATATAAGAAATCCATTCTCAGATAGAGATAATTTATTAGCGTTTCTAGCGTGAAAACGCATTATATGAAAACCTTGATATAATAACTTGGTGATATAACATGCGTTGACGACATACCGTCACTGTACGTACAATGCGGGATGAAGAGAGGTACATTGTGTGTACATGCATGTATATCAATATTACAATATATTATTAATTAGATCGCCAAAATTCGAACTAAGCAAACAATCATTACTGAAGAAGACAAACGGTAGAAAACAACAGTGACTTTTAGAAAAATAAGGAAGTATTACCTTTTTAGCATAATGTGACGAGCTGTAGTGGTAGAATGGAAGACTTGCACGGAGCTGAACTGAATCGCAGATACCATAGAGTTACTACTCCAAGCAGATACCGATGAGCGTTTGACACTGTCACTGAAGATAAACAATCATTTGTATTATATAAAAAGCATCGACCGTCACACAGTGAATGAACTGTTACCTCGGCCAACATCCGTGACTAGTCTTCTATTCACAGTCTTCTTTTGCTCTGGCTCACGATTTCAATTTTGTAAGGTTGCTTCGGATTTTAGATGAGGAGGCGGGATCGCTTTGTGTATATGAATAGATATTTTCCATGGAAATCTCCTTTATGAAATGGCAATATTGACACTTGCCATATTTGCCATATTTGACACTTGGAAGTGTACTTTTTTCTTCTTCAAACAGAATCGGGGGAATATTATAGTAGAAATTTAAAAAACGATTTGTCGAACTTTAATTTATTATGTCACTTTAATATTTTTTCACCTTGATTTCACATCATTATGCCAAATAAAACAATTCTTGACATCTGAATAAAGCCTAGATTCCTCCAGCGATCACTGATGCGCATCTGAAATTAAAATTACGATATTATGTCGTTGTATTATATAGTTGTTATCTTGTAGATTAAAGGCGTAACAAATTAAGGATTACCGGCAGCCTAGGTAACTTCTTGATCAGGAGCATGACAGGGTCAAACCGGTACACTCATTTATTCCTTATTTATGACTATTATATTTTTGTCTATTTATGAATAATGTAATAGCAATCAGTTATTATTTTGCTTTCTTTGTTTTTGTTTGTTAAGAAAGGAAAGGAAAATTACGGTCTTTTGGAGGAGAAGGAAGACATCAACCACGAGAGCTATCTCTCATCTGAGATTAAGTGATCTCGAACATTCTTATCGTTGTTTTGTCTGCATTTCTTTTTTTTCCCATTCATTAAACCAGTTTCCCTGTTTTTTTTTCTTTGTTTCTTTGTTATTATTTTTAATCACATTCAATTTTTTGAAAAGGCAAAGTCAAATGTAGGGTTTTTCTAAAGCAAAAAGTGAGAGAAACAGGTCAGTGAAAGTTTGAGCAAGATCCGATTAAAAATAAGAAAGTTATAAAATTGAGATCAACTAAACACAAATTGGCAAATCTGTGACGTTTCTTGCGAGGTTCCATCCATATTTTTTTCTATAAATAAAATGTTTAATCAAGCATGCACCCTAAATATTATAAGTGCAAGATTTGCAAATATATATGTTTCTATAAAATACAACCCTAGTGAATGAAACAAATCTATTCCGCCATCGATAACTATAAGAAAATGTAAGTTTAAAACGTTTTGGACAGAGCAAATTGAAGAATGTTACCTTAATATTTGCCAAAGAACTTTCCTGATCCCCACCTTGAAAATAACATTAAAAAATTACAAAACTTCACCTTGTTAGGAAATAATATGTTTTGTGTATCTAGACCTAAGCTGTGAATATGTGTATAAAATTATGGTTGCCGGACAACGCGTGATCTGCTGTGCGCTGTCTTTTGTGACGTAACAATTCAAAGCTCACTCTAGTGCGTACAATACGCCATGCAATACCGAACACTTTTGAGATCTCCATGCATTCATTATTAATTTTATCAGTAATAATTTCTTGTAACACAGCGTTTGTATTTTTTGGAAAGTTTGTATGTGTTATGATTTGAATTCTTAATAAACACATAATTTAAAAAAATAAAAATTAAATAAAATTAAAAAAAATAAAAAACAAACAAATTATCAGTAATAGGCGGTGTCACACAGAAAAATCCCGACCCATCTTGAATAAACCAGATTTTAGAAATCTATTTTTTTCGTTTACGTCGGTGACAGACAGGCTACGAATAATCCAGATAACTAAAATCCGGATTGCTGGCCTCTGTGTGACACCGCAGCATCCTCCTAATAGATCTGGGATATACGATACTTCAAACAAAATATTTGAAGCATCAATGCATCAATTATAAACACAAATGTGGCCCATGTAAATCAATAAACTTGATTTTTATTCTTTCTCCTGAAGACAAAAATTAGATAACCTTTACCTTCTTCCTAGCTTGCCTGTACGAGTACGCCCTACAAATAACAACTTTAATGAAGGCAGGGCCGAAAAAACAAAGTGGTTAATTATCAGGGAAAAGACTAGAGTTTGATATGCTCAACAAAGTTCGTCTTAATGCATGGCGTATCGTCAACGAAACGGAATTAAGTCTTTTGTCAACTCTGTTTGTTGCTACGGCAGGCAGCCAGTGAAAACGAATTCGTTTAATCAAATTATGGAAATGCAAGCATTACTAAAAACAAACAGAACTTTGTTATTCCTGGCTCAATTTTCCTGATTGAGGTGTCTTATGCGAAAGGGCAGAAAATGAACTTTCTAGAAATGTCATTTTCTCTTTGAAATTCAGATACCGCCCGCCATATGAGTAATAATGAGTTACATTTAATGAAAGAGGATGATCTATCTTTACAAATGTGTTTTTTTTTTATAATAATTGTGATTAAGTTATGATAAAACATCGATAATTCTCGGCTTCTTTTTTTTCTGGGACGCACTGTATAATTTCCAAACGGGAATAGAACATCGATCGATTTTAGTCAAGAAACATTGTTTTGAAGCTAAAGTAATATTAATCTTGAGCCGGAGTTGTATAATCATACTTTCAGACTCGAAGTTCAACCACGACAACGATCATCGAATATTGCAGGATCGCATATATGCTTCCCGTACATTTGAACCAAATTCATAGTGAGTCCTTACAACGTTGTAGGCCTACATGTATTACCTTTAAAAGACATGCAGCTTCTACCTTGGGTAGCCCAGTGGCGGATCCACCGGGGAGGCCCGCGGCCCTGCCCCCTGAAAAAAAACGTTTATAAAAACGTTAATTAGTTACTTTTTTTTTAGGAGATGCCCCCCCCCCTGGCGCTCAAGGGTGCGATTTTTCACATTTTCGAGGGCCTTAACAAATAAGTGCCCCCCCCCCCCCCCCCCCCCCCCACTGAGCGAAATATTGGTCGGCACGATTTTCAAATTTCAGCACACTAAATTTCATATTGATTTCAAATCCCCCCCCCCCCCCCCCTTAAGAAATCCTGGATCCGCGCCTGGGTAGCCATAGTAAATCGCAACCTCCCTACATCTGCACTTATATATTCAAGATTACTAGCAAGGCATTATTATAGCAAAAGTTCCAATATCACAAGACCTAGCGTTAGTAAGTTACCCTTTCCCCTTAATCATGACAAGTCAAACACCCGAGCAGCCATTTATCTTGAACCCGAACTTGACCTTCAATTCGGTTCCTTTTAGCAAAGTTATATACAGAGCAGTCAGCACCCTGAGTGAATATTTATATAGCCCCCGATGGCCCATTATCTGGGCGCGTTCGCCCCGGTCTAAATCTACAGCGCTAAATTATAACAGCCACATAATGAAAGATTTTTTTCAAGCAAAGCAGGAAATGTGTAGTAACTCTATGGTTTATACTAGCGAACTACCAACTTTAGCCCCTGGGTATCGGCCTTGACAGCTGAGCCAGTATGCATTTGCACATGCTTGAAGAATAGATGAGCACATGCAGCGCGCAAGCGAGGTGGACGAACCTTTCAAATTCGTCCTAAACAAACTCTACGTATAAGAAAATTTACGAGTCGATCCACTCATCTGAACACACAGGATTCTGCCTGGACCGAACAGCCTCAAATGTCTGCACGGTCGTGTGGAAATTCACACCGGAGAAACAGGTTAGGTCCTATAAGCTGGAGTATATTTCTGTACGGCATTTTAACCTACAAAGAGTTTGGTCAAAATCCAAGTCCAATCCAAGAAATTATTTTCAGATGAACAGTAATTATGTTATCAGGCTCACAGTAGAAAATCAGAGCTGATTAGCAATGAGGGTGCATATGGTTCTGTGAAAAATATATAAAAATTGTTTCCATCATCATGATCATTTAGATATTTCGATGGTGTATGTTCCGAGAAGGGTGTATAATATGTACTCACTTATCATGTATAGGAAAGGAAACCCAGATTCATATTGTTGCAATTTTGATACAGATTAAGTCGAAGGTACTCGAGTTCATCGTCGACTCGTATACTACTAAGTTTTCTTGAATAAAGTATTTGTCTCCCCTGCATGAGGCATGTTGAACTTGACTCTGGTCTATTTGAATGAAATGGATGCTCAATGCTCAACCGAATTAAGTTAACTTGTAAACGCCAAACTTGGGCAAAGTCAGGCATTTTTTTTAAAATTGCCAGTGCTCAGTCATCTAGATCGCATTTTGATGATCAGCCTCTAAAATCAAATTACACCAATAACAAATGCACAACCACCAACAAGTCTTTTTTCAGTTAGAGCTCAATAAAGGTTCTTGGTCAAATTTTAGTTTTCAGCATTTTCTGAACGATGATATTTTTGTATATACAATTTAAAATTTTGGAAGCACGGGATAATTTAAAAGTGGTATTTTGACAGTATTTTTTTTCTTCTGATTTTCAGTTTGTGCCCACTGGTATCATTTGAATCTCCTTTCCAATAAATACTTTAAAATGGACTGAGCTATTCATGATTCCGAAATAAAGGACAGGATGTGCTTATTATTAGTGATCCAATTTTTACGACTGAAAATCTGATAATCCCTTCACAGAAATTTCCATCGGGTTTTAATCTTCCTTTTGTCACCTTGCATGCACACAATACCTTGGAAGTCAGAGTGTTAAAAGCCAATCTGCACTATAGCGACGTTAAATAGTTTTCTCTGAACTTCTGAAGTAACATTCTATAATGGGACTGGACATTCTTCTCAAATTCAGGGACATCCAATTATGAGTAATTAAACTACAAATCTTCTCTGGTTATACTTTTTATCGATTTCGTGGTATTTGCTTGGTATTGGAGTGCGTAGGCCCTATATGGGTTTCTTGTTTTGACCAATAGCAATACTTTGTAAACTCATGATCTTGTCTTGAAGAGTGAAGATACACATCTGTCACAACCATAAATAAGATAATTATTTGTTATACAAAAGATGCCGAAATGGGCAATTACTTTCAGCAGACTATCGATCCCCGGCACATTGA